ATTTGGATTAGTGAATCTTTGTGTTTTCTTCTTCTAGTTTTTGGTTACATTGAAAGATAGAACCTAGTAGTGCTTAGTGTTATTGTCTAAAATCTAGAATAAAATATAAATTTATCAATTTTGTAAAATAGTTAATACCAAGCGATAAGAAAAAAAATCGAACTTAATTTGGAATTTCATAGAATACACTTTTTTTAAATATAAATGGTTTACGTCAATTTGTGCTAGAAATGAAGACGGGAAAATTTACAGAGTATTACCATAAGTGATATAGACAATCGAATAAACAGGATCAGTGTACCTTATAGCACACATTCACACACACACCCACACCCACACCCATACACTGCGTTTATCTTAATGCCAATATCATGTATTATATATCGGACATTTATAAGATTAGGACACAAACAGTTATATACACCATAGAGTTATAGGGAGAATGACATTGAAAGAATGAAAGCATTAAAATGAATAATATAATCATTGTAATCATTTCTTTCTGTCCTAGATTTTAGACTAAAGAAATGTGTTCAATTTTAAGTGAATGTTTGTATATGTCTGTAATTCAATGATTGGTTATCCTATTTTTCATTTATGTATTAGAAATACATTTGAAAATGTCAAAGGATAAATACATCTTTATTTTATCATTATATTATGAAATAAAGATTTTATTTTCATAGATTATACAATTTGAAGTTTACATTGGTCAGTTTATCTAATGAAAATAGGATACTTATCTTATCAGAACGGGTTTGTGGAGATTTTAGAAATATCACAGATTGGAATCATGAGTCAATTGAAGCTTGACTACCATGGAAAATCCGGAAGCACTAGACGTCCGCTTTGTCCTAGTATGGGACTCCTCAGCAGTGCGTATCCACGATCCCGCACCTCGCAAGATTCGGACCCAGGACCTATCAGTCTCGCGCCAAGCGGTTAACCAACTAGACCACTGAGCCAGCGTCCAACGGTGTTAGTGTCTAACTTCAACCATTGAATCTCGCAAGGTGCAGGATCGTGTATGCACACTGCTGAGGAGTCCCATACTTATCTTAGTTAAAAAACCATTTCGAGTAGTTTCAGTCTTTTAAAAATGGTTATGCGCAGCTATTCATGGATCAGTGGAAGTTAGCTATTAACACCATTGGATGCTTTTCAACTCAGTGGTCTAAAGGTTAAGTGTTTGTATGCGAGATCGGAGGTCCTGGGTTCGCATCCCGCATGCAGGATCATGGACGTGCACTGTCGAGAAATTGGATACTAGGACGAAACGGTTGTCCAATGCTTTTACGTTTTCAATGGTGGTCTAGCATAGATTGACCCATGAATTCAACTAATAATATCACTATCATCACCACAAACTCCATTTTGACCATAGCTTATACGTTTTTATACATATTAATATTCAATAAGGATGCATATAGGTCAGTTAAAAAGCCTTTTGATAGTTATGTTATGAAATGAAGATGTATAAATAAGTTATATATAATGTATGTATTTTTCAAGATCTATAATAGGTTTTCCCATTCTAGATATAATATAATTTTCACTACAAAAACTCTTCTTTCCTAGTAAATCCCATACTTTTTGGATGTATGATGATAGTTGCCTCAATTAAACGTTGATAAATTTAAGAAAAAAACAATCTGGTGATTATATTTAAACGAATTTGCAATTAAATTATAACCATCAATAGGTAGTGTCCACATGGTATTCCATGGAAATCATTCAACCATGAATATTCACTACAATATCTAGCATTCAGTTATTTTCTAGTTATAAAATATATTGCTAGTGAAATAAGTAATGGATAGTTTGATACTGTTATTATTAATCTAAAGATGTTAATGAATAGAACTCCTTGATTCAACCATGAGAGGATCATTTCATAATCAAACTTGGAAATAATATGTCATAAGAACGTTACCTTTAAAAATCAGTATTACAGACCACTTAAATAATATCATCTTACTTGGGTAAAATTTGATAAATTATACATTGAGTATTCCACATATCCAATTCTGTAAGCATTGAATTGTATGATAAACCAATTTACCAAGTATGAGTTATAATGGAAAGAACAGAAACTCCTATCATATTAAACAACAGAACAGTATCAAATATGTAAGTAGCTGTTTTATTTAATGCCTGATTCAATTGAGTTCACTATGATTCAAAGCATATAGTGTCAATTTCTTTTCGGTTTGGTCAAACAACGAAGCATTTTTCAGTAAGTCTTCGGATAGCGGTTCATTTCTATACATTTCTATACATAAACAATCCGTGGACTTTTTTGCTTCACTGAATTTTGTGCTATGATTTAGATGCTCATTGAGGACTTTGAAGTTAATGTAATCGAAAATTATTTAAATATCTGTTGCACAGAGCTATGGTCATTTGTTCTCATGACATCTTTGAAGAGGAAAGAATGCTTATCCATGATTTACTAAACAAAAATGAATAATCATCAAAGTTCCTGATGAATCATATATTGTTAACTAAGTCTAAAAAAGTCACTGTCAGTACGTAAAAAGCCACAATTCCTGAAATTATAATTTAAAGTCGATATAGCCAGTCAAATTGAGTTTATACATCAAGAAGAACCGGGGAAAAACATTTATCGATGCAACACTATTTCTCCTTTCTTCGTTTATTCATTAATAAAATCGGTAGTGAGCTCTTTCCAGTGATCAAGAAATAAAGATAAATTATCTACTCCTCCCTTCATCTATTTGTGTGTACCATTTTAATTTCTGTTGTAGAGCCATTCATATCGACTATACAATCAAACCATTACATTCTTTGATTTCTGAACTTCATTTTATATGGTTTACTAAAGGTGACGATAAAACAATATGTATCTCTTAACTGGGACTGAATGCCACAATTACACAAGTTCTGCTTTCAAGGTTATTCACCAAGTTCCATTGAACTTCCTCTATGATTCTCGAATCAGTCTATTACAAAGGATTCCGTAGGTTTATACAGCCTCTTTCATTTACTTTAACTTTTTACATAAATATCCTTCTGTCTCTCAAAATATTCTTTTCAATTATCCATTCTTGTCATCTTAATTCAGTTTTAATTTCTAAATTTATTGTTATGTAATCTACCCTAAACATCTATCCAGTTTTTTTCTCACTGGCTGAATGAATTATCTGTTAATAAATGTACAAGTAACATTGAACATTCATAAGTAATTGCTTAATTTCGAACTATTCTCATACTTGTGTAACGAGTTGTAATATTCGGTTGATTATGTAATATAGCTTTAGCTGTATTCTTAATTTTAACTTTCCATCCATAAATTGTTTACTATATTCAAAACAAATTTTATGATATACATTGTCGAATAGATCTATCAGTTATTTGATATTGATTTTATACTTCGGTTAGAAACTAATGTACAGCATTGACAGGAAACTGCTCGAAAGAAATATCCTATAAATTGGTGGTTGGAGATAGTTAACAGGGAACCCTGGACCCATGTATTGTGCTATTTGGCACTGGTCAGCAAGGTGTACTTGTAATTTTTTGGGAACTGATTCTCCCTGATGGATTCGATCCCTTGCCACCTAGCTTCATAGTCAGAAATGTTACCACTGGGCTATCAAATTTACGAGGTAATTAAAAAGTAAGATTTTTTTTTCGTTTTACAGTAGTTTAGAATAAAATGTTGAAACCCAGTAATAAACGATGTAATTGATTTCCGTCATCATGTAGCTATGAATAAATTCATCCAAATTTATTATGATTTATATCGACTATCAAAGCATAAATGAATAAATAAAGAGAACGTGATTATTGATTGATTAACTATCGTGTAGATACACAACGATTTGATACACACGTCATACTACGATGCAGTATCAAGTTGAAACTTTTTTCTACTGACAGATCCAAAAGATGATCGAATCATTTTTAAAACTAAAGAAAAGAACTTATAGTCTTCTATCCTTTCCTAATTGAAACTGTAACCCATAAATTAACATCAACAGACTATTAAGAGATTCTAATGAAGAATATTTCTTAGTTTTCAGTCATCTTATTTAGCTGATTTCTAATACGATACCTCGGTTCTTACTGCGTTTCTTCCATTAATAGATATATATCTATCTACAGTAACTAGATAATAAATAAGTTAATCCGGTCATCAATATTAGTTGTTATTATGTTTATATTTAGCTAAACATGACTTGACATATATTCTCAACTGTTTTGGTAACATTTTATGTGTATATATAAGTATGCATATATCTATGTATAAACTGAATGTACACCTATACATAGATCCACCGGTAAAATTTCAGAATATTCTTAGCATATTCTTTCCTATTAAAGTAATAAATTGTGCCCAATCAAATAACTATACTGATTGGTTCTTCCTTTCTTTTGTTTTTTCTTTTTTTTACTTCTAAAAGAACAAAATATATTTCTTCATACTTATAACAAATACACATTTGCACTTATCAGCACTCAGAAGATTATAAAGTTATATACATATACATATACTACCCTATATATATGTACATGTCTATTATAATTCAGATTTAAGTCATGATGAACAATAACCGATTATTAGATGAATGAATCAAATTTTACTTACATGATACAATCCTTATAAAGGGGAATCAAATAGAATAGTGTATGTATGCACTTAGTTTTCCTTATAAAATTTTTTTTTTAAAAAGTAATAATAAAAGTATACAGTGACATGCACACAATTACACAATCATTATTCAATTACACACTGAATAAGTTTCTATGAATGAAACTAGCGAAAAATTAAAACAATTCATGAATTTGATTTAAAATCTTATTATAAAATTACCTTAGTAACTAACAGAAATGTATTTGTCTTTTCTTATCTTTTCTCCTTTTTTTTAAAATGAATATAAAACTACTACTTATATAAATTAATATAAAAAAAGACTTTGTTACATACTACTTAAAAGAAAAACAAATAAACGATTGTGATTAGTGAGAGAAAAAAAATGTTATTCCATCTTATTCTAATTCATTGTATTGTTTATATGATCAATGCTCAAGGTAAGTTGATCTATTCAATATAAAATTTTTGTTTTATTTTATTTGTTTATTCACCTTAGTTATCATAGACTTCCATCATGAAATGATGAAAGTTGACTTAATGATCTGATTTTTATTCTATGAATCTATGGTTAGTTTATATTAAATTGTAGCTTGATTTTTCTTCTTTCTCTTTCGTTCTTGCCACGTAAAGATCATGTTTGAATATCACATAGAGTAATTCATTTTAGATTAAGTAAATATATATACTCTATTAATCTTATTATGTAATTTATTATGATGTATAATTTTCTATGAACCTGTTAGATACTGGTTACAATTCAATGATTAGATAGTAGGTGTTCGATTCTGGTCCAAATGCCTCAGTTTGATGTTTTGATCAAGATAAATATTCTCATTTTTGATAAACTATGACCACAGATTATAATCATTCTATTGACTGATTGACAGATAAATAATGATGTTTTATGATTGTCTAATGATTATAAATTAGCTAGATGTAAGTTTGAATGTATTGAATGTCAGTTTCATTTCCTTATAGTAAATCCTAGTGTTTTATATATTATAGTGTATTGAACAGAACACGAGTGGGGACAACCGACTGTAAAAAGCACATACTTACAAAGTTACTTGGTAAAATAGAAAAACCATATAGTGAATTGTTAATTTCCAAAATATCAATGCATCATATCAACCTGAACTGTCGCTGTTGCAAACATTAATCTATTGTCTCACATTTCATTGTTCATGCGTTTTCTTACAAATTGCATTGTGTTGTCGCTCTTCCTTTCTTGATCTTCTCCCATCTTCTGCTGCTAGACATTATGTTCCTGACTCGCGTCATATACTACTTACATCAATATAAGTAGCGCGCACCACAATAGAATTTAAACTGTTTAATTTAGTAATCTTCCTTTTCAATTCATAAAATTGATACAATTGGCTTGAATAGTTACCAATAATAGTTAAACATGTATCTTTTATATTTATGTAATACCATTTAAGAATATTATTATACTGAGGTTGATTATTTGCATATTTATTAGATTGCTAAATTGGATATTATTAAAAGCTTAAATGATTTAAGTTCAGTTGTAATATTGATTTATATAAAAAAAGACAGATGTTGGCTAGTATTGGCGTTCAGGACAAACGTTTTGTCCTATTTAGGACTTGTCAGTTGAATGTATTTGCATCCTAGAATTGATATTCACTCTGAGACTCGAATCTAGTACCATTCATTTCAAATGCTATCATGTTATTCATTTCGATACTGAGTCCTGTTTGTTTGAATCTTTTCATTGATGTTTAGAAGTGCAATTAATCATTCATTTTTGTTGATAATCTTTGTGATTTAAGATAATATCGAAACAATCCTCATAGGATATAGATATTCTAATAATGGATTGATCAGTTACTGTCTTAAACATCAATAGGATGATTCAAACAAACAATCTTCAGAGAACATAAACTTTCTTAATTATATCTATCGGTTTGACTCTAATAATGAACCGTATTAAGCCATTGAAATTTCACTTATTTTCTTAAAGAATGATTCGTAAATTTTCTTTATTTATAAATGAACACAACTAATCAATAAGTTACTAACCTAATTATGTTAAGTAGTATGTATTTATAAAAGAAATTTGGTAATTATCAAATTTTGTATAGTTTCTTCCTATTAATATACTAACCGTAAACTATCACTAAGTGATTCTTAGCATCATCAAACTATATGGATATCTATAATAAAACGATAAATTGTTGAAACTATCTATTTGTTTACCTATTACTTGTAACAATTTGAATAAACAGAACAGAATTATCGTTAAAGAGTACTTACTCCCAAATGCCTTGGTATGGTCGAAAGTGGGGACAGTCATCTCTCCCTCTCGAAATGCTTTCACATGGCCATGTACATACAAACACTGCCAAGGAAGTCCTATTCACTGTTGTTTAAGAAATTAAGAGGACGAAAAGTGAATTTCCAACGCTTTAACCAGGTTAATGAATATGGAGGTTCCACCTGGGAGAGTTGGAAAACCTTAATTCCAAACCAGTGGTGTACATGGGCTCCAGGATCCTGGAGGAACGAATGGTGTATGAACCAATTGTTGGTCACCGGCTACCAAAAGACTGCATCTCCTGACGTTGCTCCACTGCCTCGTGGATTAGACCTTTAGATAGAAGACTGCAGGTGTGGCCCCCTAAGAAAACCACCTGTTTCGGTTTGGGCACCCTGTCAGTATCACAACCCTCACATAAATCGAATGATTGACGTGACGCAAATCTATTTGGTACCTCCTTATATCAATGTTTATATGTTTAGATAAATAAGTAATAAAAAGTACTGACAAATGGATTAGTAATGAAATTATTTAACACTTAGTTTTTCATAGATTATAGGGAATAAAACAATTTTGCAAATACACTATAAGAAATATTCTAAATAAAAAATTACTCCTCTAACCATCTATAGGATTGTAGCGAGTTTATATGCAAATTGTTTCATTATAAATTTAGTCATTAGACTTTTCAATAAATTTGAGTTACCATAATCATGTTCAATTACATAACGAATTACTTTTTTGAAATGATTGTTATTGAAAGTGTCTTATCATGGGATGAAGTTTATTGTTACTGGACACTTTACTTTAGAGTAATGAACAAACATATTGGAAATATGGTGCGTAAAAGAAAGAGAAAGAGTGATATGTGTAAATGATTAATCATGACAGAATTAATATAAATCTTTAAATTCTATAGTTGAATACATGAGTCAATCTATGCTAGACCACCTTAAAAACCTGGAAACACTAGATGGCCTCTTCGTCCTAGTATGGAATTCTTCAGCAGTGCGCGTCCATGATCCTGCATCCAAGACCTTCAATCTCACGTACTAACACTTAACCTTTAGATCACTGAGCTGACTGGCATCCAACGGTGTTAATGTCTAACTCCAACCAATCCAAGATATCGCACTACCGTCCATCATTGTCTTTAGTAGGTAACTGTCTCATTGTTGATTAGTCCCATACTAGGACGAAACGGCCGTTTTATGCTTACAGGTTTTCCATGGTGATCTAGCATAGATCGACTAATGAATTCAACTATTTAAAAAAACGCTACAATATTCACAAACCTTCCATTCTGATAAAAATGTCTTTAAATTTCAATACAATTTTACAGTTAAAACTTATACAGATATTTCAAGGAAATCATCAAATTTCTGTAATTATTAATCAGCCTTACTGTAGAATAGATTAACTAATATCCTTGTCTATTTTAAGTGATATGTAACATAGAATGGTGAACATTTAATCCACCTTAATATCTATTAAATTTGCCTTAAAATGATGTAAGTTATGCGGAATTGAACATGTTTATGTTCTGAAAAAAAATCCGCTTCAAGTAGGAATAATGTCAGATAGATTTGAGTTGATATATAGAAGATTCATTGTTAACAATATCAATCTGATTGGTTTAATTTTTTCTTTACATTGTTAAGGAAATATGTCTTAATTAATCACTTAGTCAATATCCATAATGTAGTATCGAAGTTTAAAAGTAATCATTCAAATTAATCACATACTTACATGTTAATTCGAATTCCTAGATGCTAATCACTGAGCCTACTTTTTTCATTTTAATCACCTACATATATATATGAATAATAAGACATAAGTATGTCTTATGAGCAAAGATGGATAATCACTAGAAGTGGAATCCAGGATGCGTGTTTCATCTTATTTGGGACTCGTCAATTGGATAAGCCTGCATCTCAGAGTTAATGTTCACCCCAATAGTCGAACCCAGTACCATTCGATTCAAGCACCATCACGCTATCCATTTAGCTACTGAGTGGTCAACATCAATTCTGAGATACAGATACATCCAACTGACAAGTCCTAAATAGGACGAAACACGTATCCTGAATTCCATTGCTAGCCACTATCCATCTTTGCTTATAATATTTTTGAATTAAAGTAATATATCGAGGTAATAGGCATAAGTCAATAATAGACTGATCAATTGCAGTGCTAAACATCAGTGTTAAGATTCAAGTAAACAATAACAAATGGACATAACTACATCAGTTATTTGACATAATTTATACAAACTTCATCTCGAAAACTAATCGATTATACGGGGATATTCAGTGACCAGATCTGAATGATTTAATTGTGAAACTTTAGTTTTTATTCTGGACAAAAGGAATAAGAATGAAAATGTCCCCTTAAGTATGATATATTCATGTTTGCTATTATTATTTCAAATTAATGATGATTAGAGTGAATACATTAAGACAAATAATCAATCAGTAGTATGTCTCAATAAAGTGTTTATGTTGTATAATCTTTATTATGGACTTCTAATGTCTTTATTGACTCAAAATAGACGTTCTCAATCTCTAAAGGAACATTAGTTCCCAGAGTACTGGGAAACAAAATAAAGTATACTGATTATGTTATCCCTTCCAACTTTAAGATTGTGTGTAGTACATAATTTCAAGTTACTTTTCCAATAGTGAATACAGAACTTAAAATCTTCAGGCAAATTCAATATTAACTTCATTGAAAAAAAATACTGAGAACTTTCTTAATTTAATCTATTTATTATGGTTAACTTAGATTTTCTAAATTATGATTTTTGGATTGTTAATGATGAAAAATATTTTCTTGTATACTTTTAGGTTGTACAATGGACGATGGGAGAGTTTTATCCCCCGGTGAAGAAGTTCGATTAGCAAACTTTCCATGTGCAATATGCCGTTGTGATCCAAATACACGTGAAGTTGTTTGTGAAACAGAAACTTGTCCAACTTTGCAATGTGGAGAAGATGAAGGACAACTTCTAGAACCTGGTCAATGTTGCCCAGAATGTGTTGGTAAATTCATTTGCACTTCTTTTTCTAATGACTGAAATGATTGTTTGATGCCTATTAAAATTAATATTCAACGACTGGTTCAAAATTTTAAAAAAATTGCCCTCTAAATTGCCATGATAATTTTAAAGTAGTTTACATCACTGACTGAGTTTAGAAGGAAGCAAAAAACAGTTGTTGTGTTCTAGTATGAAACCCCTAAAGAGTGTGGAGTCAAGACCCAATTACATGATATAACCATAAACTTCATGTCTCAAACCAATCATATAATTTTCAGACCAATTCCTCCAGATTTTAGACGGTTATGTAGGTAAAGTCAGTTTGTTATATAAACTGTTCTCGAATTCACTGGTCTCCATAAAACCACAGTCCTGACTGAACAGTTATGAAACTATTTATTTATTTATTTTAACACGTAGATATTAGTACAAGAAGGCACCAAATACATATGCGCCACACAAATCTCATTTGATATATGTGAGGGCTGTGGTACTGACAGGGTGCCCAAATCGAAATAGGTGGTTTTCTTAGGGGGCTACATCCGGAGCCTTCGATCCGAAGGTCTGGTCCATAAGGCAATGGGGCATCGTAAGGAGATGTAGTCCCATGATAGCCTGTGACCAAAGCCATTTGTTCCCTCAGAATACTGGAGCCCATGTGCACCATTGGTTTGGAATCAGGGTTTTCCAACTCCCCTAGTTGGATTCTCCGTGTTCACCAACCCGTTTAAAGCGCTGGACATTCACTTTTCGTCCTCTCAGTTCCGTAAAAAACAGTTATGCCACGATAAGGTAGTGAGTAGGACTTCCCTGGCAGAGGCTGTATACGCGTGGCCATTTGGGAGTATTTCAAGAGGGATAGCTGACTCTCCACACTCTCGGCCGTACCAGGTCATTTGGGGGCATGAAACTAAAAGAGATAATTTTAATATTATAAAACCAAAATTATTTTGTAAGACTACTAAAATGACTGTATTGGTCAAGTACATCATCTACTCACGTAATCGAGCCACAAATCGCAACCGAACAATGTCAGAATAAAGGACGACTGACTAACTATATATATAAAAATTCGGTTAATATAACATAATTGAATTAGTTGATTATTCGTAGCTGGAAACGAAAACCACAGATAAATCAATATTTATCTAATACTGTCCATTATATCAAAGCAATCATCGTTGGACTTAGTTGACTAAGAGTTATTGTATGAAATGTATAAGGTAATTTACTTGTCATACATATTATAAATTAGAAAAAATTGGATAGAATTATTATTTGTGCAACATTCCACTTAGCTAAACTGACAGAGCATCATAACAGTAAATCAAAGGTTTATGAATTCGCTTCCGTTTATTTCTATGACATCAGTAACATATTATTCTGATTTATGTTATTAATTTCAATTTTTAAGGATTTACTATTAAAGCCCCATTTAATTGATGAAATACGTACTAATTCGCCATTTTTTTCACCATTCTTTGTTTCATTTCTAAAAAAATTAAAGCGAAGAGTCGTGTGGTAAGTACGGTTTATTAATATAATAAATTATTATTCAGTATACTACTGTGCTATTTAATTCATCCGACAATTTATGTTCATTCATGAGTGCTATTTATGTTATATTTTTTTATGGATAGTTTCTTAGTTCAGGAACTTTGTTCAAGCTGCTCGAAGAGTGGAATCATATGTACTTAACGGGATATTGGACTTAAATGATTTTTTTTAACCATTAATTCATCTCATGAAACTGAGATAATCAAAGTATATGAAATTTTCAGTGATGTCACGAAGCTAGGATATGGTGGCAAAACTTTTAGTGATACATTTTATCTACTTATAGTTTATCAGTAAACAATAATTATCCACTAAAAACTATATGAAAGGAGAATGAATATTTCAGTGAACCAATAATTTTTGACAATGATCTCATTTTCGTTAGCATAATATCGCAACAATAAGTTATCCTTTTATTAATTAAGACAATTATCAATCTTCTGACTTTAAGTCGGACTGTGTTCCATTAAGATACTTGTATGTATTGCGATAAATATGTTTATTGCTCCATTACAGTCAAGACAATAAATTTAATATTTAAAACAAAATAATTTAGCTGATATATGGTGAAAAACAAGATAGAATATATGTTCCATTCGTAAAACAGAGCAACTGAAATAACCATGAAGAGAAGAGAATTATTCAAACCACTTTTAAGAAAAGAAAACAAGTCTGAATTAATTGGGATAATGAATGAGACACTAACTTGTACTGAACGATAACATAAGTAGGAACAATCGAATGTATTTGGAAACAAAATTATGGAACGTTTTAGTAAAATCTGAGAACCATAAAATAACTACTTCATTTGCAAAATGTCAGTCAATTGTCTCAAGCTTGACTGTTCCTTTGTTTCCACTCCAATCATTTTCTGTTCTCGTTCTCTTTTCTTCGATCTTCCTAAGATTCTGCTGCGAGTTATTTCACTTTCAATTGGTGATACATACTACTTATATCTATCAACATCAGTAGTACACATCACAAACTCAATAGTGAAATTGAACGGGGATTTTTTTATATCATACATCAGATAAGATTACAGATGTTGACCATTGGATTTTTTTTCATCGCTTCATAATAGTTGTCGACAAAAGCTTTGTATAACTATTTGAAAAATGTAAAATATGTCTATAAATGATATTCATAATGAGAGTAGTCTAATAAATGTAATGGAGAATGAAAAAACACAGCATTCACATAAATCTTCTTTACATACATTACTCAATAGAAAGTATATAAATAATTAAGCTTCATCAATATAAGTGTCAGTTGGACATTCAGATTTGGTAAACTTATTACCAGTATACTTAATATCAAAGGAATAAGCCAAATTAATACGGACGTACTAAAAGATCTGTTTTCAAAAAAGGGTTATATTAGAGTTGTAAGATTAGTTAACATTCTTCGCATTAAACAGAAGAGAAACCACATTTACACTGTATGTAGGGTGACTATTCCGATGTTTTATTTTGCGAATACTCTTCTGTACTGTTGTCGATAAGTGACTCCATGTTTGTATTCATTTATATTTAGAATAACGGCAGAAGGGTTCCTTATTGGTTAACCTGTTTAAGTTTGCTCTGATCATTTTTAGTTTCAAAATACCAATCAATCTTCTGTGATTCGGATAGGAATTTAATTAGAAATTTAATTACACAAAAACATATACGACATAACTAGGTTGCACCAAATAATATTCAAAGTGTGGGTACTTGCCACCAATAGACAAAAATATTAACAATCGAGATTCATATAGATTAGGTAAAGCTAATTACAACATTGGATTACGAATGATTTGAGTATCATTTGTGTTAATTTATTATTCCCTGAGATGGAATACTTGTTGAATTATAGTAGATTTTTGAATTGCAATACAAAATTAACCAAGTAGTATTATAAACTACACGTTATCAATCTAGACTTTTAACATTTGTAGTCCATTTCAAGTATATCAGCATACCAGACAATCGTAACTTAATCATCAAATCAAATCACCATTTGTTTGCTAACAGTTTGATTAACTGAAATGACAAAACAGTGTTTTTAGTATTAACTGTAGTGTTACATAAGAGATAGTGTAGTGTGTGCTACTATTATATAGACATAAGTAGTATATGACGTTATTCGTGAACAGAATGTCTGGCAACAGTGAGACAAGAGAATCGAACAGTAAAAAATGGAAACAAAATGCAATTTGTATGAAAATGCAAGAACAATGAAGTCTGAGTCATTTTGAGACAATTGATGTCCGTTTTGCAAATTACGTATTTATTACTTGATTGCTAGATTTTATTAACAAGTCCTGTAAGCTTGTGTCAAATACATTCGATTGTTTCCCACTGGTGTTCTGTCCACATAAATGTTCTCATATTTTACTTGAGTTGACAAAAACGCATCATAAGTGTAAAATTAAGCAGATATATTCACTTAATGCTCATTACTTTGATTTAATTTGAAACGCTCAGTTTTTCATAGTGAACTTAGTAAGTTTTAAGACAATCTACATTACATTCCACATTTTTATCTGATCAATTAGGAACCAGTACTACCCCAAGCTACACCTCGTACATATACTGACGAACCAAGGTCGACAAGAACACCAAGACCAACTGCCGAGCCAGCACAAACTCTACCACCTCCACCTCCACCATTACCCGATGGGTCTCCAGGACTTCGAGGACCTGTTGGACCGCCTGGACCTCCTGGACCACCGGGAGATCCTGGTTTCGATGGTGAAAATGGATTGCCTGGTATGCCTGGTCTCCCAGGTCCAGTAAGTTTCATAATTTCAAATACTTGATTTTTTTTCTTGCATAATACAAAAAGATTTTGTACAGTTTACAAACTGTGATAAGTACCAGCTTATTTAATTTTTGGTAAACAGTTACAAAAAACATTCTTTTGATCAAAGTGTACAAACTTTCAGGTACATAATAGAGAAGGGGTGGGAATAAACTAAAGATCGATAAGATCATTGAAAATCAATTCTCTACCTTCTTCTAAATATCATTAATTCATATTGGAACAAAGTTTTGCAAATTGTAAATTTAGAATTCATTTTAATTTATCTAGAAAAGTATAAAGACAATAAATTACACAAACATGAATTTACGGTTTATAGTTGATTGAACTAGATTAAGAGACATATTCATCGATGATTTTGTTACATCTCTTTATATACATTTATCAACCATAACATGTAAGGAAACTTAAATATGTAACATTATAAGTCATTTAAAGCTGATAATTAACTAGTTACATAATACATGAAAATATTGTTTCTATCTGTTAAAATAGAATATTTAATGAACACTCAATTACAATTAGTCATATAAATATTACCATTGTGAACAAGGGTAATTTTACATTGGTTTTCAAAAGAACCATATACCATTTAGACTTTCACATGATAATTCAAATAGTACAGTTCAATCTCGTTTAACTGGAGAGCCAGATATTGCTCAGGCTTAAATTTTATAGCATGATCAGTACAGCTCAATACTACTTCACAGGAGAACCAGACAATTAGGTCTGAATCTTTGGTAAATATGATGTATAAAATGAAATTTCACCCTAAAATTAACTTTCAACCCTAAGCTTACACTGTTTAGATTACTCTCAGTTGGAGTTTTAGATATCTATGTTAGTTTAATGACTAGAGCTAGACGATAGTCTAATTTATAAAAGGATTGAAGATACAAATATAGAAACACCTTTAGAGGATATCTGAACAAATTCTAATTTTGCTTCAGATTGCTATGTAAAAGAATTATGTCTCAAAACAATCAATTATTTTCATTTTCTGCCAATTACAGATGTTGGCTTCACACACTTAAACCATACTATAATGAATGAGATTAAACTATAGAATCTCTTAGTAAAGCATGAATATTTAATTTCCATATTTCCATCATTTGTCCTTTACGTTCTGTATGATTCTTCTAGTTCAAAATTCCTTTCTATTTTCACTTCTATTCAATTCGATATTCTTAGCCTTCTGTTGCCAGGTTTTCCACTTCTGATTGGTATAACATACTACTTATGTCGACAGACATAAGTAGCATACACTACAATATCAAAATAATATAGACAAGTGCAAAGGGAACCTAGGTAAAAATAATTATCTCATCATAAGCAAAGATGGATAGTGACTAGCAGTGAAATCCAGGATGCGTGTTTCGTCTTATTTAGGACTCATCAGTTGGATAAGCCTGCATCTCAGAGTTAATGTTCACCCCGATAGTCAAACCCAGTACCATTCGCTTCAAACAACATAGCGTTATCCACTTAGCTATTGAGTCCTCTGAGATACAGATACATCCAATTGACAAGTCCTAAATAGGACGACACACATATCCTGAATTTCATTGCTAGCCAAGTCAATAATAGACTGATCAATTGCAGTCTTAAACATTAATGCTAAGAGATTCAAGTAAACAATACCATGTGAATTATCTCATTGTTATAAAGTTTGAAATTATACACTAAATTAGCTAACTTTTGTAAATAACCAAAGTTGGCCAAATATTTGTGTGTTTGTTTGTTTGTTGTTGTTGAAAATATTAAACTCGATTGACTTCGTCTTGTTGATAGTAATCAATTATTTTTCACTTTTTTTAAAATAATACCCTAAGTAACTAGATACAAGTGCTCTATAACTTGAAACAATAATGATTACAAACTAAGTAAGAAATTCAACAGATAGACTAATCAGTTGATGGAAAGCCGAAAGAAATCGCATTTAATTAGAGCGCCAGATTTAGAAACATGAATTTGATTATATAACATCTTTTTGATAGAGTTTTGTTTCCTGAGCTAGATGGTTTAGTCGTAACCATCCAGCTCAGAGAACAAAACTCCATCAAAATTGTCCACCTGAGCTACAAATCTTCTCCACTATCTCAACATTTTTTTTAGAATTTAGGATCATACAATAATCAATCGTTTAATATTAATGTCAATTTTATCTAGTTCTTAGGTCTAACCATAATCTATTAATCGATTTACAATGTAATTTCTAATTTAAATAATGTAAAATTATAGTATATCATGTTTTCTATCAAGAAGTTAACGGAAATCGACTAACATTGAACGTGGATAATAGGGTAATGGTAATACCTTCAACTATAACAGTAGATAATTCAGGACTCTACAGTTTTGGATTCTTGTTAGTGACGTCTGTGATAGTTATGTATTCTTTATCTAGCTCTATGAAAATCTTGTATTTTTATTATTCCATAGACAGATTTATACTGTGGACAACGTAAGTTTTAAAGAACAAGTTCAATAACCTATACTATAAGATGTTATGATTTAAGACAGTGTGACTTATATTACTGTAGGATGTTAGTTGTTTCATCTACTAAAGATGTGATTATAAAATTAATTCTTTGGGATAATGATAATAAAGTTTGTTAAATACTTTACAAAAAGATCAATATCATAATAAACCGTTTGTGAAGTGTTTTTACCACTAATTAATGAATAGTTATGACCCACTATTGCGTTTATCAAATCTTTTCATCATTTAGATGATGTATGTAATTTTAATTTTTCTTTTCCAATAATTAACTAATTTTAGCCCCCTCAAGATGTCGATGACTACATGCAACGTTCTAGAGCAATGGTAAAAGGTCCAGTTGGTGAAAATGTAACCATGTATCAAGATATCCGGGTAACAATGGTGAGTTGTAGTATATATACTTACTTACTCACTTACTTACACCTGTTACTCCCAATGGAGCATAGACTACCGACTAACATTCTCTAACCCACTCTGTCTTCGGCTTTCCGTTCTAGTTCTATCAAATTGTTGTTCATTCTTCTCATATCTGCCTCCATTTCTCGGCGTAATGTGTTCTTTGGTTTTCCACTTTTCCTTTGGCCTTGAGGATCCTAAGTGAGGGCTTGATTTGTGATGCAGTTGTGTGCCTTTCTCAATGTGTGTCCTATCCACTTCCAGCGCCTCTTCATGATTTCTTCCTCCGCTGGATTCTGTTCTGTTCTCTCTCATAGTAGATTTTTGTTGATAGTGTCTGGCCAACGGATCCGAAGTATTTTGTGTGGACAACTGTTAATAAACACTCGTATCTTTGTTATATTGAATAATGTGTTTAATTGAAAATTCTGTAAGTGAATAACTATGTCTTGAAGTCAATAATTTTAAGATGAACAACACTCTTCTACACTTATCTATTCAAGAAGAAAAAAGCTCTTAGGAAGTAGCAAGTAGATAATTCAACAAATCAGTTATATCAAAAGGGTTTTTTTGTGGATATTATAGTAATTTTTAATAGTTGAGATCATGAGTCAATTGAAGTTCGACTATCATGGAAAACCCGGAAACACTGGACGGCCGTTGTGTCTTATTGTGTGACTCCTCTTCAGTGTGCATCCACAATATTATTAATTGTAGCAATTTCATCTTGTAATACTGTTCATTCAGTAAACTGTTGCTTGATCAATAACAAGTTCTACTCAACTGAATTAATTCAACTTACACTGTTGCTTAGTCAACTGTAAATTGATGATATAAAAATCAGTGTATTCAGATATACTGATTTATTTTTGACGTACTACAAATCCTCATGCATTCTCTTTATCTCTTTTTCTTGCATTGAGTCATATTAGTTTTGTTCAGATTTACTAATGTTTAATGGTAACTTGATTTGTTTTACCATCAATCTTTGCTTATTCTACAACTTGCTGAAGAAGCATTTTTGAGACGAAACTCTTTAAAGTTTATATTTTCTAACTAACTAACAGTTACAGTGCTAAAAATGTGAACTTTATACATCTTCATAAATACATATAACAACAGTAAAGTCATTAGTCTGATAGACTGTTGAAATACTTAGGTTACTTGACGACTGCTATAATATCGTATTAAGTTTGATTTTAATGTTAGGTTACATGCGCTAAAGTTGACCAGAAGTGGGTATATTAAAAGTATGTAGCTTTAATCATTGAAATTTCTGTGCAGTTGTTAGTTATTCACTAATCTAAAGGCGTAACAAATGTTTACTATATTTAACGAGTTTTTTTCATATGCATAACAATTTCGTTGAACCATTTGTTTTAAAAAGAGTATTTAATTGCTTATTTAATTTGGTTTTACAGGGTTATGGCTTCTTTAATACAATGATATTTTTAGGACTTTCAATCCTTGTCTCATGAAATACTGATGTTTTTTATGCATTTAGTCGGAACAAGTAATTTTTACCTGAGATTATTTATTAGTTCTGAAAATTTGCTTTTTAGCTTTCATTTTGCATCTCATAAGCTCAAATCAGTTAATAAAACTACTGTTTATCTCATTAGGGACCACCTGGTGAGCCAGGTGCACCCGGATTCCCAGGAGTCATAGGCTCACCTGGACCGATCGGACAACCTGGGCTGATGGGAGATCCCGGTCCATCGGGAAACCCTGGATCTAGAGGACATGCTGGGCCTGTTGGAAATGATGGAAAAGCTGGACCGATAGGAAGACCTGGGTTAAAAGGTGCTCGAGGACCACGTGGCATACCTGGAGTCATGGGAGAAGCTGGGCTTCCTGGAGCAATGGGTCTACGAGGTGAACGAGGAGAACGTGGCGAAGAAGGTATCAAAGGAATGGCTGGTGATTATGGACCGAAAGGACTACCAGGACCTGTAGGACCGAAAGGTTCGATCGGTCTTCAGGGTCAACGAGGTGAACCGGGCCCCAGAGGATTCATGGGACTGCCAGGACCTATAGTATGTCTCTGTTTTTATCAGTTAATACTTTTATGATTATGAAGTTTATATCTTTATCGTTTATAACAATTCTAGTAGTGTATTTATGTTGGTATGAGATCAGACTTTCAGTGAACAGTTTTGGAAGACAGTAAATTTTCTCTAGTATACCATGACCAACTAGTCTAAGTATTATATCCACAAAATATTTCAAGCAATGACTAACTTATGTATATTTTAAACCATTTTCAAACTTCATGTATTTAGTTCAGTATGGTGTTCCCCACTAAAAAGATTAATTTATTAAATAAGTGCTTTATATCATACATATAGATCGATTCTTTTCACGTACAGTGTGACTGTAATGAAAGACGACTCTCTGGGGAAAACCAATTTATGTCTGATGGAAATATCACACAGTGGCTTAGTAAAACATGAAATCATACATTGAATAAATCATTTGCGCATCTTCTTTAAGTTGTCCTTTTCATACTCCATTATCTCCTTAATTGTATCGTTATTTCGTTTGCTCTCCGATTTCCTTCCTGTTCTCTTCATTTCACTCTTCTGCTGCCAGACATTTCACTTCTGATTTTCACTGTGTACTACTTATATCTGTCAGTATAAGTAGCATCCACCACACGACCACCAACTAATGCTATTTGAAATTATTGATTACAACAGATTCAAGGGGGAATAGGTCTTAAAACTGGGATATTATTGAAGGAAAAATGATATGGTATAAGTGTTTTGTGAATTTTCAGTGAAACCAAGAAGTTATTTATAAATAAAATAATGTAAAATAATATGGATAGAAACTGGATATGGGATATAAAAACATCTGGAAAACCACAAAGCTAGAAGCCACTATACATATAAAGAGTTATAATCAGTTAAAATCAGGACTGAATTCTGACTACAGAAATAAAAGAGCAGTATCTAAGTGTTCATGTAAATGTCTAAATTTTATGTTGCAAACCACGGATGACTTGAATAGTTTGATATACTTATATATAAGGGATTTCAAGTTCATGGTTAACAAGTAATTTCTTATATTTGTTACCACATATTAACATCATTTTATTGTTGCTTATTTTTAACTTTAGGGAGTTGATGGGACAGATGGTGTTCCGGGAGCACCAGGTGATCCTGGAGCACCTGGCCCCCAAGGAAGTCCTGGGTTGCAAGGCCCAGAGGGACCTAAAGGTCAACCTGGTCTTCCTGGCCCTAAAGGAGAGGTCGGTTTCCCTGGATTACGTGGAGATAGAGGAGCGCCAGGACCACCTGGAAATCCTGGAAAACAGGGTGCACATGGACCTCCAGGAGCAATCGGTAATAAAGGAGAGCCAGGAGATCGAGGACACCCCGGAAAACCTGGGATGATGGGAATCAGAGGATTTTCTGGTGGAGAAGGAGAAATAGGTCTTGTGGGTGCGAAAGGACCAGAAGGCTCGGTGGGGTTGCAAGGTGCGCAAGGTTTGCCAGGACCAGAAGGTATCAAAGGTCGTCGCGGTGAGCGTGGCCCACCGGGGCCAGTAGGCGAACAAGGTAGTAGAGGTATACGTGGTTCCGCTGGGCTATCGGGAGCCCCTGGGCACGAAGGCAGTCGTGGTCTTCCAGGACTTCGTGGTCCTCCAGGTCCTGAAGGCCCACCGGGCGCTATTGGTCCAGGTGGAGCACCTGGTATAACTGGTCCCGTTGGTGAGAAGGGAGCTCAAGGAGATATTGGCCCAAGTGGTCTCAAAGGTCCTACCGGTCCTAGAGTAAGTTAATGATATTCCACTTTTCAATATTCGGTTAAAGTAAATCTCTATCACATTAGAAATAAAAGAATTTTATAAATATCGAAAAGTTTAGATGTTATTTGAACAAGTAGCTACAGTAGTAGTGTCCTTTTTTCAATATTTTTCATTGAATCATTAATAATCCTCAGTGATTTGATTAAATGTGTACTAGAACACAGAAAATGGGTTGATTAATACAAATTCATGGGACTAAGGTAGAAAGTAATCACAATACGACACTATTGGACTACTTCAAATAATTAATTATTTATGCATCATTGTTGATATATCTGTAGTGTGAAGGAGTTTCACTTTGATTATTGCATAATTTTCTGTATTTTAATGAAAATTCAAGAGAATACTTAAAGTTTAACCATTTTATGACAAGTGTCATCATTAGAAAATATTCTCAAGAGTTAATCTGACAATCGAAAAATAGTTTCACGATTAAAATATGATTAGTATAGGATTGTGGAGATTATATAGTTTTTGATTGAGATCATGAACCGATTGATGTTAGACCACCATTAAAACCCGGGAGCGGGATCGTGGGTGCACGCTGCTGAGGAGTCCTACAATAGGACGAAACGGCCGTCCAGTGCTGATAAGTTTTCAATAGTAGTCTACCATCAATCGGTTCATGATTTCAATTAAAAAATATGAAATAGTCCTATAAATCATACTTTAAAAATAACTCACATATCTCAATTTTTAGTATATTTAATGTGATATAACAATGTGTCGAAGTAATCTTTTTAGGGTACGCGTATAAATTTCAGTCCAGAATATCGATATTTGGAAATTACAAATTCTTACTGATACCTTTATATTTGCATCTCTGCATCTCTGTGCTAATGTGGTATGGCAACTCGAACTGATGTACGTACGTACGAAGTTCTACGTTGTTACTGACTGACCTTTATATCCATTGAGTAAGTTATTGGCTATTCGAATCCAGTACTTTAGTGGATAAAGCGCTAAATTTGAATTGAAAAGTACAGAATTCGGCCCTCAGTTTGAACATCAACATTGATGCTAGTACATCCGAATGGCGAGCATATCAAATGTAGAAGGTTTAATAATCGTCACTCACTCGATGATACTCCATTATTTAACGTTGATTTTAATCATGGACTGATACAATGTGGAGAGCAATCAAAAACTAAAGTGTTGTACAGCTGTGGAGTCTGAATATCAGACCTTTCAACATCTTTTAAGTCATATGGAACTGAACATTGAACTTTCAGGTTTCGTAGTACAAACTATGTCTTTAAAGTATCAGTTAAAAACTGAATGGTCCAAATTTCCTTAATTTAGTCAATTGAAATTTGAAGGAGCTCTAATAGTTGAACTAAAAACCAGCACATTAGGTTGTATCATATCTAAGTAATGAATCTCGGAATCATAACTAAATGCTAATACTGACTGCATTAGTATAAAATACAAAAAAAAACAATAACTTAATACAAGTTTACAAATTATCTATAAGTATAATATTCAATTGTTTAACACATGTTAATGTAATATTCATTTCATTCAGGGTTCAGTTGGGAATCGTGGACAACCAGGACCAACTGGTGAACCTGGTCCTAAGGTTAGTTTTCGAGTTGAAAAAATTATTATGTTTCTTGTTTTTAGTAAATTAAAAAATTTAAAAAATTCAATAACCAATAAGCGCATTTGTAAAGTCGTTAGTACTACAACACAGTACAAAATCTTAGTTTTCATTGGGAATATTATATATTTAAATATAATTATGAAGGATAATGTGTATTATTATCCAATTAAAGGAGGTCTATAAACAAAATTCGAAATTGTAGTGATTATATCAAGCTCATAAGATTAAGCTTTCTAAACTTATTCAATATAACAATTGTAGATATAGAAACAAAGTATAATAACATAAGTAACTGATTTTGTCATTAAACAAGAATTATATACAATTTTCTTTGTGATGATCGCATTTCATCAAACTCTACAGTCGTATTAATAGTGACTTAATCTATTGAAAAATATTAAGGCCTTGTGTTCGAATTCCGCGAGCAGAATCGTGAATGCAAACTACTGAAGAGTCCTACAATAGGAAGAAACGGTCATCCAGTGCTTCCAGGTCTTCAATGGTGATGTAACATCAATCGATTCATGATCTCGATAAAATTTTCATCTGACTGTCACTGTTCTCGAAATTTACTTTTGTACTCGCTAACATAGCTCATTGAGACAGACTCTAGCTAAATATGTATAATATATTTCTCAAACAACTCAGTGGGGAAAGGTTTAATACCTTATCAAATGACTCACTATCGCCTTCAAGTATCATATGACTGATCGCAGCTTTACTCAAATGAGGGTTCTAGAGTATACATCATCACTTAGAAAGGGCTTATGATCAGATACTATCAACCAACTCATGTCTCTAACCTCAAAATATCACGTCTCCTAGCTATGAAGATAGATAGACCAAGCTGATGTTCTGTTCTTTATCATCAAAACGGAGACCTCGCCCAAGCCACTGGTTAATCAAGGTATTAAGATTCAAGTGACTGCTCTGTACAGATACTGGTAACAATCCTCTAATGCTGACGAGGCTAAAAACGAATGAAGTGATTTGCACGCTCGACTATTTTACTTTATAATATGGAACTAAGCATTAAAGAAAAATCTGTCGGGATTAGAATTCAAAGTAATGATAATGGTATCGGTTAAACATTTCAACATTCGAATCTTTAATGTCCTTCAACAACGATGTCAGCCAATTAATCCTCTTATCGTAATTCAATATTTTTACTACATGGGATTATTTTTCTGACCTCATATTTTTATTTCCTCATTATCACACAGGGTCCACTTGGATCTATTGGTCGACCTGGGATGCCTGGTGCAGCAGGAATTCCTGGGCCGCACGGCCCTCAAGGAGGACAAGGGTTACGTGGTCTACCTGGCTCGGTCGGGAAGACCGGTGACCCTGGAGCAGTTGGATCAAGAGGTCCCAGGGGTGACAGAGGTCCACGAGGGGAACCCGGACCTCCGGGTCCATTTGGACCGTCAGGTGAGAAAGGCCAACGTGGGCAATCTGGCAAACGTGGTCCTATGGGAGCAGAAGGTAGAGTTGGTCCCGAAGGTCCACCAGGGACACCTGGGAAACCGGGTGATCCTGGGCCAGCTGGAGAACCTGGGCATATCGGTCCACCAGGACCTCCAGTAGGTGACATCTGTTTGTTTTCTGTAATGATGAAGTTATTTGCATATACTACTCACAGTTCGGTATCAAATACAGTTAAGTGGAAATATCTAATGGTTATCTTGATCAGTGGTTACATTTTGAGTTAGATATTAAGAAATTATGCACTCACCATGTCTGTTTTTTAAGATCTGGGAAAAAATCATGTAAATGTTTATTTACGAAAAAACTCGTCTATGTGTGAGTGTGAATACTTTGTTTGCACACTGTATAATATTATTACAATTAGTTTTCTTACCAGTTGTTAGGGAACGTGATTTTAACTGAAATTCTAACTGTTAAAATACTCTAATATGTAACAATAGTTTATTTTTCTATTAAAAAAATTCATTACACAGATTTTAGTCTAGATTTTCATGAAACCATAATTGTTGCATTGAAATGTAGATTGAAACATATATGTTATCAAGTAAATCTATTAACAGTTTCGTTTACACAGCCAATCGACTTTGAATACATCTCAGTCCTAAAGAAGGTCAGTCATGACTTGGTTAGCTCAATGGTAGCGTATTTGACCATGAAGCAAAGAGATATGAAGTTTATTCTAATAAAAAGCATCATTTCACCTAAGATTACTCCTAAACCTTGCTAACGAGTGACAGATAGCACGAAATCTAGGTCTAAGTTTTCCTGTCAACTGCTTTCAACTGCCATCTTACATTTTCATATAGTACATGGATTATATACTCAATAGCGATGACATAATAATCAGTGTCATTCTTTTTAAACCTTTACGCAGACAATACTTTATCACAAAAAACTTGAAATAAGAAATATCCATTATGTTAAATGTTTTGGAGTGAGATGGTACTATTCTTAATGTCAAGTGATTAAAGAGATTATCACACAACCATAAATTTTGGTTAGTTATTCACTTCGACTTATTCATAAAATAAATCTGCATACTAAATCAAATTCTAGCATAAATAAACCACGCTTATATGGGCAAGGGTAAAATCAAGAGGTTTATAGTTGAAAGTTTCCTTTAATCTCTTCTAATTTATAATTCTTCACAGAATAAAAATACGAAAGCCGGATTTGAATTAGTACAAATAATTATAGCAGCTATCTCTTGAGAAAAATCTATGAGCAATCAATACAAGGCTTATTCATTTATTCATTTGCATTTTGTCAAAGAACTAAGCACGATTATTTACAAATATCAATGTATGTTTGATAATAATATTCACTAACATGGTAAGAGATATGACATGTCAAAGGTTAACGGAAATAATAATATCAGAACTATTAGTACTTATGTAATAATTTTATGAGCTCACTTTTCTTTTGGATTGTCATTGTCTCCAATAATCAGTTAGGTAAGTGTTCTACTGATCTGAGCTATATACATGTAAAACCTTTGTAATGAAATAAACATTTCCGTCCGGTAAGATTAGAATTTATGAACGACCTTGAGCAACGCTAAAGTGACCCTGAAGATGTCCATCAAGTTACTAGGGCTAAATGAAGGCTATAAAGCAGTATTAAGAATAAGAATTGCGATTTACAATTGATGGTAAGGGTTGGGAATTAGAATTATGGTTTCCATCACGAACTGACATAAACTAAAATGCCGAAAGGCTATTTAGACAAATGGATGAATGAATTTCGCGCCAAAATCCAAGACATGTTATCCCAAATCTCATTGGTTCGTACATATATATAAAAGTATCGCATGTCTCCTTATTGTTTAAGTTTCTAACAGCAGCAAACAAAACAGGAAGATAGTTAGGAAAACTCAGAATTAGGTAGTAGCAACAGCTAGCTAAAAACGACTGTTGCACGTCCTGTTTATTTATAAACTCATAAAACTGTTTTGTAGTGCAAAATGATTTTTTTTGTAACTTTTAGGGAGAACGTGGAGCCCCAGGACAAATGGGCCCACCGGGCCCACCTGGAAGGGCTGGGGACAAAGGAGCTTCAGGTCCAGTTGGACGTGATGGGCTCAAGGGCGACAGGGGCGAAAAAGGTGACATGGGAGACAGTGGGACGGTTGGTGTTCCCGGCCTTGTTGGCAATACTGGAATTCGTGGTGAGAGGGGTGAAAAGGGCGATAGAGGACCCACTGGGCCACGAGGGGAACCGGGCCCAGTGGGAGCTCCAGGACAGAGGGGTTCCGACGGTCCTATGGGACACCCTGGACCGCAAGGACGAACTGGTAACAAAGGGATATTAGGAGTTCGTGGTTATCAGGGCGACAAAGGGACACCTGGGGATCAGGGACCACAAGGTATTCCGGGTGATTCAGGTATACCAGGGCCACCCGGCCCACCTGGTTCTGTCGGAATGAAAGGAGTTAAAGGGGAAATGGGTCCACGTGGACCTCGTGGTGAGGCTGGTAACATGGGAATAAAAGGAGTTCAAGGACCACCTGGGCCTAAAGGTCACCCTGGATTACCAGGTCAGCAGGGTGATAGAGGCCAACCAGGTGTACAAGGAGATCAGGGGTCGGAAGGTTTAATTGGAGAACCTGGACCCCAAGGACCACCAGGAGAAAATGGTCGACCAGGCCCCCCAGGACCTGCTGGACAAACTGGGCCTAAAGGTGAGGCTGGGGACCCAGGACTCGAAGGACCTGCGGGTTCAGACGGAATGGCTGGACTTCCGGGTCCTGCAGGTGATAAAGGGGAACGAGGAGACCCTGGATTACCGGTAAGATTACACTGCTATTTTGAGTGAATCCTAATTAGTTACAATATATATATCAACTGGCATATTATATTACTTATACACCACAGTTACACAGTATTTAAGTGTATTATTTTCAAATAAGTTTTATCTTATAACATTCCCATCTATTGTGAATTTTTCACTTCATAAGAGTATATCTTTACTGGTTATTTTTCGGTGTTGTAATTATTTTGATCATACACACTATAAGTACATTCATTTTGTTGAAATGGCTAATCCAGACTACTTTTGGATATTACTTATATTTTACCATAGTAATGTTCTTTTTTCAGAAAACTAAAACACTAAAAGAGTAAATGTAGATTTAATCTGTATCATTTGGATAAGTGTGAATAACTGACAACTTAATTAAACCTAATATTCCATTAACCAATGAAGTAAAATATCATAACGACGAAAACTGGCGCTTGTAATAAAAAAAAGCATTGAAATCTGCATGATGCAAAGAAGGATGTGAAAATTTATAGCTAATGAATATTTTAATTAACCCCCCAAAAATATGACAACCACTTAACTACAATACACTGATTTGTATAACGAATGTATTGAAATTTAATAGTTGGTCAAATAAATAAAATAAGATGAAATGTTAGAAATGAATTTTATGCAGAATTCATGCAAAACTTATGCTGTACGTTGTACTGAACGAAATCCACACTAAATTGTCACTAAACGAACTATATACATATAAATCATACTGAATTAGTTGAAATCATGAACAGATCGATGTTAGATCAATATTAAAAAGTTGGAATCACTAGACAGCTATTTCGTCCCAGTACAAAACTCTTTTTGTGGTCCAGTATCTGACTCTAGTTTGATCATATGAAGATGCTATGAATATAAATCTTCCATTTAACGCTGAATATTATCTAGGCTAACCCCATTTGTGTAACGGCAGTAATAAAGAGCAAATACGGGTTCCGTTGTAGGGATTCATTTCATGCATTCGTTTATCATGACAGACATTTCAAATAAGAAGCGGCAAAACGAAGCGAAGAGGAGCAGAGAACGCGAGTAAGCCAACTCGATTGGACAAAGCATGACTCAACATTTATAATCAGGCAAAAATAAGCCAAATACATGTGATGAACAGGGTAAGCAATACAGAAACATACGCTTATATAGATAAGTCAAGGTTACTAAGTGAATAATTAACAAGTTCAAAATCCGATTCAAGAAGAATGAATAAACTAGTCTGTCCGGAAGCTAGAGTAACCTATATGGGTTTGACGCAGTAATAAACACTACACTCCTCAGAAGTGCACACTCACTACATTGCAAGTGGGAATCGAATCCCGGGTCTACGATCTTGCGCTCGAACGCTTAGCTTCTAGACTACTGGGCCTGGATTTAATGTCGTTAATATCTACCTTCAATTGCGCGTGAAACCGAAGATCCTGTGTTCGACTCCCACACACAGGGTCGTGAATGCCCACTGCTAAGGAGTCCCGTACCAGGGAGAAATGGTTATCCAGCGCTTCCAGGTGTTCAGTTGTAATCTAACATTGATCTGTTCATGATTTATCAAGTAAAGCTTTGCACAGGTAGTTTTGCTATCCAGGAGCCAACATCGAAGTAGGTTGAAAAGAGTTCAGCTTCAAGTTATTTAGGTTTACACTACAGACAACAATTTCAACGACTACTGTATTTTTTATTTTATAAATTAATCTCATCACTTTTCATAAACTGAACAACTAGCAGTAATTAATGTTTACTCTGAATTATCGGTATAGAGTTGTGCAGATTTTAGAGTTTTTATTGAAATCATGAACCGATCACTGTTAGATCGCCATTGAAAACACAGAAACAATGGACGGCTATTTCGTCCTGATATGGATGTGCACTGCTGAGAAGTCCCATACTGGGATTAAACAGCCGTTCGATGCTTCCAGGTTTTCAATAGTGCTTTTGCATTGATCGGTTCATGATCTCATTAGAACTCTGGATCAATTAAATCATTTTTTTCTAATCGATTCACTATGTATATGAATTGTATTGATGAATATAAAAAAGAAACGGATTATCTTACACCTACATGGATTAACTAGATCTGTCTAATAAGCTCAGCTACTATGTTGCCGGTGAATACATAATATTTTTTTCCAAATATTTTAAGACCCATTTTAATGAATGGTATCTAAATACCCCCTTATTTCATTAATCCACTAAAAGAACGAAATAATTTTTCAAAAAATTATTTTATCTGTTTTTATAGACTTTTATTCTATAATCTAATATGACTAAACCATTTAAAAAGTAAATATTAGAATATTATTTTTATCTCGATAACCTTTTCTCCCATAGGGTACAGTAGGTCCAATTGGACCAGATGGTGATCAAGGACCAAGTGGTGCACCGGGAAAAATTGGACCAACGGGACCACCTGGTAATGTGGGGAAACCTGGAGAAATGGTAATATATGCATTGTTTTATTCTTTTAATCTGGTTAAATAAAATTGATTCAATATTTTAGTAGTAATTTCTATTTATATAAAATAAAAAAGTTGTGATTGATTAAAACTTATTGTGAAAGTCTGTATCTTTGATATTCTGATAGCTTTGCTTGATATTTCCAGGGTCCGCCAGGAAATGCTGGCTTACCTGGAAGAACAGGTTTACCTGGTCCTCCTGGAAAAGACGGTCAGATGGGAAAACAAGGTCCTCGTGGTGAAGAGGGACCTCGAGGACCAGACGGGAATGCAGGAATGCAGGGCCCACCCGGGGCTTCAGGAGTTAAGGGTCCTCCAGGAAGCAGAGGACCAACTGGTCCAACTGGAATCAGAGGACCGCCTGGACTAATTGGACAACCTGGGCCACCAGGTAAACAAGGAAGTCAAGGAAGACCTGGAAAACCAGGTCCAGATGGATTTGAAGGGAAACGAGGTCCTCCGGGTGAAATAGGAGCACCTGGAGTTCCTGGAAGCAAAGGACCCGTGGGAGACGAAGGAGAGCCTGGCTCAAGAGGTGCATCCGGAAACATGGGTCTTACTGGACCACCTGGTGATGGTGGACCTCCTGGATTGCCAGGAAGTCCAGGTTCAAGAGGACCACAAGGACCAATGGTAAGTTATTGTACGACATTTAAAAATTGTGGTCACATTCCTTTTATTTACTTGTTTACTAAGAAAACAAATGTATTTTAGCCTCTTTTTAAATTATGTTGAGTGGATACGACACGATAGTCAAATAACTGATTACACAAAACCAATTTATTCTGAGTTGGAAATTTCTTTGACAAAGCTGTCTCCTGAATATTAGGATGAAAATTTCGGCAAATTTACATTAAAGACCAGATCAGTTTCCCCGTTGACTGAATAACTAGAAGGAATTATCAGATTTGAAAAAAGGTTTTAGAAGGTCACTTCTAAATTAAAGATGTAATTCTTCAGTAGCTCAACTTCAAGACGTGGTTATTTAACCAGATTTCAACATTTGGCTGTCCAATTAACGTGGCAATTGAATACTTTACTATTCCAAGTATCTGAAATAAATTTGAAACTTAACCAACAATTCATTCTTGTAATTTAATCTAACAAAATACACTGTGCTATCAATTTGAACGACTTTGATAGTATAAATTCTATTAAGATACATGCTTTCATTCAACTTCAACTATCATTACGGTATCAGTAACGAAATGGTAATCCAAACGATAATTTTGATACGTTTATTTTAAGTTGGCCAAATCTAACTTTATTTAAATAGATTTATGAAAGTTTAGTAATTTTGATGGGTATTTCTCATAGCATTTGATAATTATAAAAACTAGTAAGCTTTAAACAGATTGATAGAACTAGTATAGGGGTTGTGGAGATTATTAAGTTTTTGATTGAGATCTTGGACTCGCACTGCTGAGGAGTGGCACAATAGAACGAAACGGCCGTCCAGCGCTTCCAGGTTTCCAAAGGTGATCTAACACCACTCGGTTCATGATCTCAATCAAGATTGATAGAATTCGGTCACCACTAAAGTCTAGACGAGCATATCATTGATACTAATCAGTAACTATTTCTTCGCATATCAAAACTGTCCCTATAGTGAGCATCTACAATCGTATATATGACGAAATTTAACGCTTTAGAGTCTGTTTAGAGCATGATGCTTTTGAGCCGTCAAGTTTAAATCCAATGATTCAAATTTTTTATCATTCTTCTACTCATATAACACAATCATTTACTAGTATTATCTGTAATTTACTGTTTCACTCATCAATTGATTGCTTATGGCTACTCCTCACAACTTTTAATCAGAGGGTAGCTACTCGTGATAATTAGTGATTTACGGCCTACTACTATATAATTCGCAAGATGTTATCTGACAGATTGATTAATGTAGGTTATCTCCTAGCCAACTATATCGAACAGCAGTATTCATCAAACTGAAACAAAACATTATTCATCTATTATAACATTATTTTTAGAACTAAATAAGAGAATAATCTGTGTGCAGTTGTACCACACAGCCATATTTTTAGATATTTCAAGTATATGTTTTTTCTCATTAATACTTAACGTAACCAAAACTACTACTCAATAGTAGGAAACCTAACTTTGTGCACTTAAAATATCACCTTTGTAAAAATTGCGATTGAAGAGCTCAACAGGCAAATAATGTTTTTTTTACCAAATCTTCAATCAAAAATTGTTAAATCACGTATGTATTCTATGTGTTTAGCTGTGTATTTAATTATGATATATCTAATCATGTCGTTCATTAAATGAATTTCTAGTGTCCCTGATGACTAGATACTTGATTTTTTAGTCAATCATATTGTTATATATACTGATAAATAACTTTTGATGTTACTTACCTAGGGTGAAGTTGGCCTAAAAGGTGAAACGGGTCTTCCAGGAGTTCCAGGACCAATTGGGCAACCAGGACCAATGGTAAGTGATAATAGTTGATTGACTAATATATTTATTATATAAAAGTAAACAACTTGATCAATGAACTATGTAACTACTATGTTAGTCATCTAAGACAATCGGTTCGATTCTGAGCATAAGAGATCGACATTGACTGAAATGTAATTACCTGATGATTACAACTTTTCAAATACACTCACAAGGTTGTGTTACCTTAAGAAGTAAATAACTTGTATGAATGGGTAATTCTCACGCAATTTGCTGTAACGATATTCAACTTGTAATCGGAGGATGAAATGTTTATCGTTACTTTTAGGCTACTGGAAGTTGCGAAAGTATGTATGACATTTTGTTTTTGCATGTTCGCACCGTTATTTATTTGTGGATATTTACGTCGTTTAGTTTTATTGTAACGTTATTGAAATTTTCACAGGGACCACCAGGTATTCAAGGTCCACCGGGTGAACCAGGACCGCCAGGAAATGATGGTCCTCCGGGAGCCATTGTAAGTGAATTTTATTCTTGTATACAACATAATTTTTAAGATTTTGGAGTGATATTCTGTTCGAAATCAGCGGTTATGTAAAATATTTTACCATAGGAAATGAACTGTTTGTTCTTAGGAGTATTTGTTAGGCACTGACGCCAGAGTTATTCAAACTAATTTGATTAATCAGATAAATTAACTTTTGTTAGGTCCCGATAAACATAATGAATGGTAACTTTGGGAACCTTTTATGGACCAATACTAAACGTATATTTTTGTCGTATAATTGTTAATTAAATAAACTATTCATATTCATGTCTCTCTTATCATAAGCTTTATTTTGACCCATAAACTATTATAATACGATTTTCTGTTCTTGAATTATTCCCTGTCCATTAATCACTACCTCCGACATTCACAGCCACATTTGGCCATATTTTGTACAAATGTTATTTTCTATTTTATAGTACGATTTGGTCTACTTGATTGGTATATAAACAGAGTATGTTTGAAATACACGACTCATATTTCAGAGGCTGAGATTGGAGTTCTGGACCTAACTGGCTGGGCTAGGCGGAAAGCAGGACCAAACAAGACTCTAGGCTGCTCATACGATTTTACACGTCATTGATCCGATCGATAAGTCACTTCTCTCTAATCGGCGGTCGCAAGATATAACAACTTTAAACGGTAAAATTAAAATGAGCTTAATTAAGTGCTTGTTGAACACCAATAATAAAATCAAGCCATCTTACATGTTCAGTAGTAAAATTTTCTTCCTCCAAATCTGTTGTCATACAAGTTTGTCTCCCATGTAGACAATCAGTGAGTTATCTCTTAACGACATATTTATATAAATGTGTAACATCGGATACCAACTCGGTGGTTCAATAGCCATAAACTTACTGCGAGACCTAAGGATCGTACGTTTGTTCTCCCTAAAATTTGTAGGTATGGATTGCTGATGTACCTCATAATAGAAATAAGCATATATTCGGTACTTCTTGAGCCTTAATGGTAACTTAACGAATGTCAAACCATGATAAATATCACTTGCAAATTAAATTAACTTTTATAAAACTCCATCACAAAGGTAAACATGTAGCCTAAATTTTTTTCAGTTTCATTTAAAACCGTTTTAAAGGGTAATTGAACTGGTTACCTTATTTAATTCATCTATGAATTTCTTTTATATTGATTCTTGAATAGGGTTTGCCTGGACCACCGGGAGAGTTTAAAACTGACTATACATCATTGTTTAGTCGTAGAAGAGATTCAGATGTTGGAATGATGGTAAGGTTGAAAAGTTAATTGGTAATATATTTAACAGATATTTACTGAATACAATAAAAATGCATGCATATAACGTTTTTGCTAGTAGGATAGTTTACGGACGTTTTGTATGTTTTTTTTCAATTTGTGAATCATAGTACAGTTTTGTTCAAGTTTAAACAGTTTTGTAAGGTGGTTTTGGAAATAGATTCATTTATGAAGTACTGACACCTACTAGAAATCCATTGCAGGCCAGAGAAAACTGAATAGCTATATTTTTCCAAATTTTAGACTGTTTAACAAGATATCCTCGTAGCTTGACATGGGATCAAACTTAAGATTTTCGAATTTTGATTCTTAGTAGCTTTGTGAAAATGCATGGCTGTTAAAAATCAGCTAGGTTATTAGTGAAACAAATATCATCAAAAACTATCGTGCTGTATATCTAATAAAGTCACTGAATTCCACCTAAGTTATAAAAATCGTCGACTTCGGGCCAGCATGGAATCATGTTCAAGTAAAGATGGTGAATTCTAAAGCCATTCAATACTTCCTGGTTTCAAACAAATCTTTATTTAATGTCAATACATAGATAAACTGTTATCAGATTAACAAGATTTTGTGACATTATTTGGATTTGAGTACGCTGTGAAATTATGGACTCGTGTTGCATCCTATTTAAAACTCCTCAGATATATCTACTTTCAACACATTGAGATATGATCAACTCAGTGTAACCTAAAACATAGTAGTTATTACTTCAAACTCGTAATTCTCAATCAAGGAAACGACTCATTCATGTTTTGTTATTTGGAGCTGACAAACAACTTACTAAGGTATTCATGTATACAAAACAAAATGAAATGAAAATTTAGTTTAATTAATTCTCTCCATCATGTCAACAAGTATATATTAAAAAAATAATAATAAACGGAAAATCTTTGGACTTAATTACATTTCAAACCGGCTTCATAAAAGATTGAACTCATTCTAAATAAATTAACAGTTTTCGCAAACCTTACAGATAACTATTGCCATTAGAGTCATATTCAATTTTGAAGTATTCTATCATCAGTCTGTCTATTATAAGGCTTTTTGTTGATAAAATTGATTAGAAGGAACTAACAAAGTTGATGCAAGATCATTACAGAAATGATAAAAACAGAAACAAGGAAGGAAAATTCTAAAAAAAGTAAAAAAAAATGTAAATGAAAATAAAATCATGAAAATGAAAGGGATTGTACATACCGTTTCAGTATATACGGATCTTCTTTTTTGATTGCGTATAGCTACAGTATCTAAAATTCAAAGGAGATAAAAATACACACTTTTCTGTTGATTAAGTCTGATCCTATATATGATATAGAATGGAAAGTCGGATACTATATGGCCAGTCATTTATAGTGTAATAAACGACTTTATAGTTGTAAATAGTATGCTGAATTATGTAAAGAAGTGATTGTTAGCTTATTTGAAAATGTTCCGCGTTGGATGATCTATATAGCTAACTTTATAAAAGCAGGTGAATAAGTATGTGCACATTGAGATAATCTGTCAAAGTAGTTTGTCCTTCACTCAAGGACAAACCAGTAAGTATTTAGTGAGAATTATAATTCGAAAATTTAGTATTCAGTTTTGCATTTTCTTATCTTTTTGATAGTTTCTCTCTTGCCTCGTTTTTTTATTATTGTACCTGTCTGAAATAAAAACAAACAAAAAACATGAACTCATTTAGCAAGCTGATGAACCCCGTAATAGAGGAAGGAGAATACGCCGTTCATATGAATGGAGTGATGAAGATTATGACCCAAGCAAAGAAACTGATCCTAATGATGAGGTAAGCGGAACTGACGAATACAAATACTGTTAAGTATTTTATGGTGTATACTTGTAATCTTGTGCGATTATCATTCTGATAACTTTGAATATGTCTGTATAAGCCGATATTATCACAAGATTCATTGTTCAAGGTTATTTATAATAATTAAACCAAATAACTAGTTGACTAGATAGGTCGTAGAAATTATTAGACATTTAAAGAAGGAATGTGATTCATTAGCGCATACCTGTAAATTTTATTCTGCTTTCTGCTACATACACGTGATGTATTTCACTATGAAAATAATACTAAGTCTCATACTGCCTTATTCTTTAATTGTTCTACTTTAAAAATCATATGATTCATGAAGTAAATAAATATCCCTTTCCTGTACTTTTAAAGGAGGTTGCGGTCTCATTGTTAACCTGCTTAATAATCAAAGCAGATTAGCGGGAAAATGTGAACATCATAAGAAACTCATACTAGCTAAAAGATGCATACTATCACTCTTCAAAACTTTTAACAATGGAAAAAGCTCTATATAACCTAGCTCTCTACCCATGTTTAAATCTGCGATTGATACTTAGGTCTCTAACACAACATTTGATGTACTTTGCTAGCCAATAGACATAAGATTCTCTGCCGTAAACTATATCTTAGCTATTAAATGATCACAATCTAGTACAAAACAATTACATAATACCAGAAATTTTCAATGGTTTTTTCGACAACATTCATTAACAGTAGAGAATATCTTCAAAGTTTGCCTCCGACCTTCACAATAATTTTCAATAGGATATTTTCATGATATTCAAATGCTATTCGGTCTTAATAAAGTCGATTACTTTCACATCTTTCATTACACAATTTTGATTTTTCTTTGTTTTAAACACCATTTTCCAACTAAAAATAAGGAGGAAGATATTTTTGAAGCATTGCGTCAAGTTGGAAGACTTGTGAATAGTTTGAATAGTGGGAGTGGAACACAATTCAATCCTGCACGAACATGTCATGATTTAAAAAGAGATCATCCAGAGAAAAAAGACGGTTAGTCGATATTTATTTTTCGCCTATTTAAAAGAATCCACTACCAGTTTCTTTATAGTTCACGAAAACAATAATTTATTAGCAGTACTAACTGTTATTCCGTTTTGCATTCAATATTGAAGCAATGATCTTTTTGAAAAAATATATAATTAAGCAAATGTGCTTTTTGTTAAGTTTAATGATGATGGAGTTTCTAATCTTATGGTAGTTACATTTGCCAACATAACTTCAGAAAAACTGACGACACGAGAATTTTTCGATTTAGTCTAATTTGTTGGTTACATGAGGTTTCTTGCTGATTGATTGAAATCTTTTATTTTATTCACGAATATATATGACGGTCTCTTGTTTGACTGATGCCAAAAGTTACTCAACTTATGAGTTTAAGGCACACTATCTACTATGTTCATGTTTATTAAAATTACATTACATACAATGACTAGTTCATCACTCAAATCTCTCTTATTAGTAACCTTATCTGATAAGATAAGAATCTTTCATATTCATTTAATGGGCTACAAATATTTGGAATTATCCGTAAAATTAATTATCACTGGGTGATCTATTTCTCAGTGTTTGTGAGTGTCTTTTATTTCATGTTCATTTCGGTAACTGATTCGACTACTGATTGATTGGAGCAGAAAATACTTTTTGTTCTTAAACAGCAATAAAAGTCTGGAATTAGTCAACAGAAAAAGAAAATGGCAAAATCAGTCGTTATTTTAGTCATATGCGTTAACCTGATGATTAATTCAACAGAAGACAATGCAAACGGGTGATTTTTAAGGAATATGACGTAAAAAAGATATTTAAAACATTTTTAATTGGTATTAGTGTAATGTAACACTTGGTACTAGGGTATGTCATGTTGCCTAGTCCCTATTTCTGATCGAATTCCATGGATTAAGTTTCAAGATGACAACTAGTCAGGGTAACTTGATGTAGAACGCACCATATCTTACCGTTAGTAAACTGAGGTTCAATGTTTCTGGTTGACTATGTTCAATCAAACAACAATTTAATCCAAATTTATTTGTAGTTGAAATCTAAAACTTTATTATGATTAAAGTGACAGTACTATTGAGTTTTTGATTAGTCTAATTCTGTACTAAATAATTTCCATCATTAGCTAACATCGGGTAGAGAACTAGTAGAGATAAGGAAGCATTCGACAGCTACTTCATTCTAGTCTAGGACCGCTCAACAGTGTACACCTAAGATGTTGTATATGATTAAATCTAGAACCCATATATTTCAAGTCCAGCACAAAACTGAGTCATTTAGATGGAGTTTTTTCCTCTGAGCTGGCTGGTTTAGTCGTGTAGCTTTCATCGTTCCTCTGAACGACATCATCAGCACAAAATTCAGGTAGAACTGAAGTGTTCGAATTTATCCACATGTGGTTCACAGCTTGTTCTGTAGACCTCTATGTTGATTGGTTCTTGTTGATCTTAAATCTATCCTTGTTTACTTCTTTGTTTTGATAGTATCTGCCATTGGTTCGATTTTTGTTCCTATGTTTGTGCATAATTTTCCTGATTGGTCTACAGGACAAGCTGTGAACCACCTGTGGATAAATTCGAACACTTCACTTCTACCTGAAGTTTGTGCTGGTGATGTCGTCCAGGAAAACGATGAAAGCCCCACGACTAAACCATCTAGCGTAGAGAACAAAACTCCATCACAATCATCCACCTGAGTTATAAATCTTCTCGATCATCTCAAAATCAGCTGAGCTATTTGTTCAAAACGTCTAAATTCAGATATTTTAAAAAGATTCACACGATAGACACTTTAAGGTGATACGAAGTGTTGAACTATCCTATTCAATGAATCACCAGAATTTACATATGAATGATTGTTAGCTTAATTCATTATTTTGATGAATTTCTCAAGCTAAACAAACCAAGTTTGAATCTCAATGAAAACATATTTAATTTAACTTCTAATGAATGTAACATTCAGTACATACATTTCATCAGTAATCTTCATGAAGATGTTATGAGTATCACTTGTCCAATCTCGTTATCATAATCACTAATGTTCAAAATCAAGTTAAAACTATAATTCACACTTAATCTATTGAAGTTAGTTAACTTATTCAAGTTTTCAGTTTTTATTCATTAACAAATACTACTTATATATATATATGTACATGATTTATCTTAGAATTCTTTTATCAAATAGGTATGTATTATGTTGATCCAAATGGTGGTCATTGGAGAGATGGAATTAGTGTTTATTGTCGTTTAAGCGGTTTAGAAACTTGTGTTAGTCCTATTACAGAACAAATGTCATCAATTTATTTATCACAAACTAAACAAAAACGTTTATGGTATTCGGAATTTTTAATGAAAACAGAAAATGCTGTAAGTTTGTTTTTGTTTTGTTTGTTTTAATAAAATATTAAGTTTGTTTACTTTTTCTTTGTATAATTTTCATTTAGCCAACTGAGTTGATATTTTCATTATGATTGTTTTGTTTAAAATATTATAATCACTGATTGATTTGAAATGTAAACGAAATAGGAACCTTTTGTTGTTGTTCTTGTCGTCGACGTTGTCGTTGTTGTTGAAATGTTTAACAACAAATACATGATATTATACAAATATTAAACTTGTAGTAAATATATAAAACTTTTAGTAACCATCTAGATCATTTATTGTAGAATATAAAATTTACTAGTGAAACAGTATTTAAAGCTTAATGAAACTTTAAAACCCGACCGTTGTTGCTATCTTGACATGGTGGTCGGGCTTGCCTATCGTGGTGAAACAACCGAGCTATACTGGCTGAAACAACCGTTCCTCAAGGTCCTACCACGTCAGAAAAGTCGGTTGAAGAGCGGTAAGACTAAAAGCAACAAACCCAAGGTCCGAAGGTGAAGTCGTACTGCTGACTGTACAGAGGTGTGACAGCAGTAAGGTGTTTCCTTCAGACAACCAGCATGGCAGCGATGCTGCCTTCCCACAATGAGGGGTGGGGTTAGAAAAGGTCGACCCTAAAAATGCACACCTCGCCTTATCCCACGGATATCCGTCTCCGGCGATAAGGTCTCAACAAGTACTGAGCTAACACAAAAATTACCCATAGAAAGGTCGTGTGTGACCGACCTCAAGCAGTTGTGCCCTGGGCACTGCGGTCACGCTCTCAGGTCATTAAGACCACCTCTAATCCAATTTCCTTTTCAGGTACCTCCAGAAACTTCAAAGGGTAAGAATGTATTTGAAAAATCTTAGCGAAGGAATTTAAAGTAAATCCGTTTCACCTAGTAATCTGGTTCAAGCTTTTTCAAATTATTTCGCTGAGATTTAACAAATACATTCTTGCTCTTTAATGTCTCATTTTGATTCGATGTCTAAATACTGTGAAACTATTCGATCAAATTTAGACGAAAGTTATTATTTAATGAGAGTTTATACTATATAACTGATATTTTGTATGTATTAATTGTGTTTTACTTGTTCTATACTGTTTTCATAATGATCATTTAATTTAATTTACTTAGTTCAAATATTTAACCACTTATTGAGAAAGAAGATTCAGATGGTGACAATCAATGTATTTTAATACAAAATTACAGAGTATTTTGGTTAAATGTAAAAACCATACGCTGAATATTATAAGCAAAGATGGATGGTGGCTAGCAGTAGAATCCAGGACGCGCGTTTCATCCTGTTTGGAACTCGTCAGTTGGATGTACCTACATCTTAGGGTTGATATTCACTCTGGGACTCGAACCTAGTACCGTTCGCATGAAACACTACGTTATCCACTTAACTACTGAGTCCTGATATCCACTTGCTTGTGCAATGAGATGAAGCTTAAATTCACTTGGCATTGTTCACTTGAATCTTCCCATTGATGTTTATGACTGCAGTTGATCAGTCTCCCATTAGCATATATGTATACTGTGCGTATTGCCTCGATATTGCCTTCATTCACAATCATTGTAGGCAAAGATTTTCACACTAAATACTTTATTCGTAAATTTCCATCATTCATCCTTCACACTCTGTATGATTCTTCAGGTTTATAATTCCATTCTCTTTTGTTCAACTTGATCTTCTTAACCTTCTGACTGCCAGGTTTTACACTTCCGACCGGTGTTACATACTATTTATACCAGTCGATTTAAGTAGCATACATCACTAGCATCGTTTCAGGTTGCCCTACTGTAATTAACTCATTTATTAAGTACATGTACCTGGCCCTTTGAGAAATTCAATTTTTGTTATGGCTGGTGATGCCAATCTACTGCATAGGCTGCAATTAATAGGGAGGTGATTGAACCTAATATTCTAAACATTAACCCCCTGTTCGATTGTATACTGTTATAATAACTATAAATGATATCGCTGTAGCAAAAATTATGGTGATTTATACTCTGATGATTGATAGGAAATGTTGATCGTAACACGTTTCAAATACACTAACCTATCTCTTTATGGTAAATCAGGCTAAATTTAATCATCAACCTTTCTGTGTATCTTTACTAGATATATATTTGATTTACCAGACGTATTAGTTTGTAAGGTATCTTCTCAGTTCTTAATAAGTCAGTACTTTTCTAATCAGCAATAATTTAGACAATTCTAAATGGCACAATAGATCGTATTTAGTATTTTAGACAGCCAAATGACAGTGAATGTAAGTAAATACCTATTAAATCGTGAACCATATGGACAAGAGAATAATTTTACACGGTGACTGTTAAAGTATTTAAGTGTATAAGGGATAAAATGAATGAGATATATTAACGCTTTGTATATGGTCTTGGACGGATGGTGTTCATCATAGTAATACAAAATGAGTTACTGGAACTATTGGTGTGTTCGAAGCTTTTCATTCTGTGAATTTAACAGATAATCTAAGAATATGGTTGGTGATTATAGTCATGTACACAAGTATGACTATTACTTCAAGAGATTATTTGTCGATCTATGCCGATTAATAGAGTTTTCTGTTGACTATTTTTAATCTCATAGAGTATATTATTTTCCGACATGCAAAGTTGTTACTCAGGGAGCTACGTGATATGAATTGAAAATAAAACAGTAGAAATTTACTGGTAAATGGGAACCAGTTTTTATATATTGATTGTTTGGAACTTTCCATGAATATTTAGGACTGCAATTGATAAGTTTCTTATGGTGCATACACATCTTGTAAGGACTGCCTTTGTATTGCTATTAGATCACAAACATTTTTAGCAGAGATGAACGGTGGTTAGTAGTGGAACCTTGGATGCGCTTTACTTCTTATTTGGAGCTCATCAGCCAGATTCGCCCGCTTCCTATAGTTGATGTTCACTCCAGTACACGAATACAGTACCTTTCTCGCGTTAACCACTTAGGGTCTTAGAGTAACGATCAATTCTGAGATTCAGGTACATCCAGCTGATGAATCTCAAAGAGGAAGAAACGTGCGTCCTGGATTCCACTGCTAACCACCATCAATCTCCGGAAATGGAAACTATTTGCTTGGTCACGCCAACATATTAATATAATATTTGTAATCTAGGAGAATATTCCTTGTTAGTTTTCTTCATTTATGCAAGATTTTTGTTGCTTTAAAAACTTATAATGTTTTCCTGAGTGACATTACTGATAGTGAAATTTAGTGGTGTTGGGTACTTTATGCTCAAAGATTTAGTGATCTGGATTTTATTGTTTTTATAGACAATAGTTTCAACGCCTAACCCTGTTAGAATCGTCATATTCAAACCCACTGGTTCGGAAGACCCAAAACTTTAAAGTTTGATTTTCAGAGGGATAGTAGGTGCCCGCTGTTGTATGGGCTCATATTACAACAAGAAATCTTTCTAAAACTGTCTAGTTGTCAATAACCATTCCAATTAATAACACTTCATGATGAAAACCAACTTTTAATATCATATTTTAAATTCTGCAGGTAAATAACCATGGTTTGTGAATAAACAAATTAAACGGAATAAACCCGTAGAGTCATAAAATAATACTGATAACGAAATTGTTCACCTTTTAAACATTTCAACTTTACTTCAGAAATAACACATATACAACTTTAATAGTTGAGTTCATGAGTCGATGTAATCTAGACTACCATTGAAAACCTGGACGCGCTAGACGGATGTTTCGTTCTGGTATGGAACTACTCAGAGGTGAGCCTCTACAACCTAGCATACGGAACTCAAACGCAAGACCTTCGGTCTCTCGCGCAAATGTTTAACCTCTAGATCACTGAGCCAACACTCAACGTACACGATTATTATTTGATCGATTTCACTAAAAACTTTCATTTAAATTAGTTGTTTTTATATTTCTTATTCTTTTTTTTCATTCCATACAAAAATAAAATGAACATTCAGCAAATAGAGTATAATATACCAAAGGATCAATTAGTTTTTCTTCAAATGTCAAGTGAAGTAGCCATACAACGATTAAAAGTGAATTGTCGAAATATACAAAATATATTAGAAATTATATCTTTGTTAAGTGATAATAATGTGTTGATTGAATTCAATGAAACTATACAATTATTTTCTATTGAAATAGAAGAAAATACATGTGAGGTAAGATTTATTATATTTTGTATAATATTTTGACAATATTAATGTTTAATATTTATTAGTATCAGAATGTGGGTTTGTAGAGATTGCAGTAATTTAATAGTTGAATTCATGAGCTGATTTAAGCTAGACCACCATGGGAAACATGGAAGCACGGGATGGTTGTTTCGTCCTAGTATTGGACTACTCATCAGTCCTGGATTCGATTCTCGTATGTGGGACCGAGGATGCGTACTACTGAGGAGTTCCATACTAGGACGAAACAGTCATTCAGTGCTTCCAAGTTTTTCATGGTGGTCTAGCTTAAATCAACTCATGAATCCAACTATCAAATTTATCATTACGTTTGAAGAGTGAATATTTATGTCTTTATATGCATAAATGACTAATTGATCAATTGGAATGTGGTAGGTTTACATTTTTTCGGTGAAATTGATGGATGAGCTATGAATGTGAATAAAATGTGTTATAAAGAAAAAAACAAGATTGCAAGCACGGATGACTGTATTCACTAGTCGCTGAAAGGATGATACTAATTAATGTTACTAAATAGTTCTTTGGAATGTTATTCAGTTTAATACCATCATGAACTAAAAGAAATGAAGACACATGATTTATTATTATTATTATCAATGGGTGTGATTTGATTTTCATGATTAGTGTTGTTAAATCTACAACCTTCAATTTTCCTTTTTTCATTACTTGTGATATATAATTAAAATGAATTATAGATATATATCGGATAGTCATACAGTTATTTTATTCACTAAATAATAAATCAGAGATCAGTGTTAATGTTCTATGATAATCTCTAATTCTGAAATCTAAACTAATTATTACATAAGGAGATATTAAGCTGAAATTTGTCAGCATGATTTTATACGGTATTTAGTTTCCTACATTTATAACACTATCTAAGTGATATCTTTGGTGATTCAAAAGTTTTGTAAACATTAGTTTAAATGATTTTTGTCATAGAATGACATTAATCGACGTACCGTTGAAAACTGGTAAGCACTGGACTGGTGGTTCCTCCTAACCCTAACATTTATCTTTTATTAATGAATTACTACTTCACTTTCAACTTGATTAGTTCCAAAAGTCATTGGTACTAACTAGAATTTTCAGAAATCTTTATCAAAGCTAATCACTAGCACAACAAGATGAACACCGGATTCATAGAAGCAGTTAATTCAGTGGTGGTAATATATAAAAGAAAGATTGCATATAAGGATATAGTACAAGAAGAATGAGTTTGTGGAAAGAAGACAAAGAGTGTATACACCCACGCCATGTTACTCAGGGTCTCCAACCATTGGTTTTGATAGTCACGCGGATCCCAACCAAGTAGTCTGCACCTACCAACATGGCTCAAACTAGAAATTAGTGACTTTAAGCACTGATACTACGTTTTGGTTTAGTCACCCTTAACTTTCTTCCAACTATCCCCAACACTAATCAGCATTGCACATCGTGGTAATCAGTGTTCATAATAATTATTATCTAATACTATTTGATTTTAATAGTTCATAGTGAAAATTAATTCCAACTCATTGTTATGTATAACAATTAAAAGGATTTTTCTATGATGTTAGTTGTAATCTAAGAAATAAAATCTTATACTTGGTTATTTATAAATCATATGAATTGACAGATTTTTCTAGATAAAAGTAACTATGTGCATAGAGTCAAACTACTTAAAAAAAAAGAAAAGAAAACTTATCCATCAATTCAATAAAGATGATAAGTATGTATATAAATTTAACTAAATCATGAATAGAAATGGTCAGATAGAACCGGAATTAAAATGATCATTTTCATTATTGATTTAAAATTAATCAATATAATATACTCAAATAAATAAATATTACACCATTACAAATGAGCATAGGATAGTGATGCAAGAGTTTTATAAGTAGTAGCCTTTCAATCAATTATTTTTTTAATAAGATACTTATTATCATATATACATTTATTGATTTGCGAACAAAATATAAACGTATGTTTATTAGGTTTATTAATACAAATAAATTTATTTATCAAAAACTGATGGTCGTTGACGCCTAGAAATAAAAAGTTCATTAGAAAAATCTCTAAACAATGATTTTAACTTAATTCTTATAAGTAATTTTAATAGTTGAGATCATGAGTCAATTGAAGCTAGACCATCATGGAAAACCTAAAAGTACTGGACAGTCCTATTATGGAACTCTTCAGCATTGAGCATCCATGATCCCGCCTTGCGGGACTCGAACACAGGACATATCAGTTTCGTGCGCGAGCGCTTAACCACTAGACCACTGAGTAGGCATCTAAAGGTGTTAATGTCTAACTTCAACTAATCCACGAAATTGAGTGACGTATCTACCATTGTCATCAGTGAGTTATTATCTCACAACTGACTCGGTTGAACTCCACTGGTCACTGCTTCTCACCAAAACTCTAGGATATACATCTTGAAGCCAGTCACTAGTGAGCATATGTTGATTAGTATCTGAAGGGTTTTTGTGGAGATTGTAGTAATTTCTTTAGTTGAGATCATGAGTCGATTGAAGCTAGACCACCATGGAAAACCTGGAAGCACTGGATGGCCGTTTCGTCCTATTATGGGACTCCTTATAGATAATTTACAACATGGTATGTTAATAAAGTTTTGTTTTTCTCATTATTAAGTGATATATTTCAATGTAATTAGTATCACTATGGAACAATAATAATTTCTATCCTATATGGTATATATTTTATTCAATTCATACTTTGACCATTCCTCTGTATATGATTGATTACACTTGTTTTATACATGTTGTTTCATAATGCCGTTTGTGTGTAACTAGTAACTTTAATGATCTGAAAACTTACTTATTACTTAAATAACGAACCGCCATCGTTTGATGAGTCATTGACAACCTGAAAGAACTGAATAATTGTTTCATCTTGTTTTGAGATTGTTCCACAGTAAATACCCGCAACCCATCACTTACTCGAAAACAGAAATTTCGGATTTCGTAATATGTCACGAATAGCATCTAATGTTACTAATAAATGAGTGCCTCAGTTTCAGTTTGATCGACTGGTCGGATGAATTGTATCTCACTCAATAAGACAAAGTTTCGAAGGGAACCTCAACTGAAACCATAAGTGTATACTGTTGTGTAGTCCCAGATGAGAACTATCTTTAAATTAAATAAACATCTATACACCATGTAAGAAAATGATTAAGGTTACTTGTAGCCATTCATAATAATTTAGATCCCCAACAATGTACTTACTAATTATTTTAAACTGTTACAAATGTTACTTGGTTGTTTACAGACAACATAGTATAAACATAAATAAACGAATTTATAAAGATAATAATCAAATAGGAACTCTGTAGACTCGAGTAACATTTTTCAGAGTCCGTAATTTATTGTTTTATTTCTAGTTGGAATTGGCATTATTAGTTAAAATTAATACGACACTAATAACAAGTAATGAAATCAGATGTTTACAAGAATTAAATACTATTAAAATTAAAGAAAACATTACTAAAAGTAGATATACACTTAAACTAAATATTCCGTGCTAATGTTAATCGATGTATAAAATTGAGTTTTTAATTTGCAAATTTTCACTGACGCTGACGCTTAGATCAATGTTTCCAAGACTAGCCATGAAAACTCAAAGTTAGGCAGGGAATTAAAAAAAAATCAGATGAAATATTCCAATCATGGATTGTAAATATTGATCATTACTATTGATAAGCTTCCATAACATTTTCGATCTTGATCTTATTTCTCTAATTTGATTGGAAATTATCTTTGAGCATCGATTATCGGTGGTTTTCTGATTCAATAACTAATACTTTCATTAAGACAAATGCCACATTGGATGTATAATTAACTGTTACTTATAAAACTGTGTTAGAGCTTGCTTTGTGATACATTCTGATGATTTTCGCAATATATGTCCTATCCATCTCAAACGTCTTTTCCTAATATACTCATCCGCTGGAAGCAGGTTTGTTCTCTCCTACAGTAGGTCGTTGCCGATGGTATCCCGTCAGTGGACATTCAGTATCTTGTTCAGACAATTGTTTAAAAACACTTGTACTTTATAGGCGATGTTTGTTGTAGTTCTCCAAGTTTCAGCTCCTTACATTAGAATTGTCTTGATGTTTGTACTGAAGATTATGACTTTGATGATGGCCGGCAATAGTTTTGAGTTCCATGTGTTATTCAACTGTAGGAACGCTGTCCTTACTTTTACAATCCTTTGCTTCACATCTGCATCAGATACTCTACGTTCATCGATGATGCTACCAAGGTAAGTGAAACTTTCCACCTCTTCCAAAGTTTCCCCATCAAGTGTGATTGGGATGGTGTTCTCCGCATTGTATTTGAGGATCTCGCTTTTTCCGTCGTGTATCTTGAGGCCTACTGATGCAGAGGTTACTGTTACACTGTTTGTCTTCACCTGTATTTGTTGGTGTGTATGGGATGGAAGAGCTAAATCATCTGCAAAGTCCGAATAGTCTACTTACATCCAACCTGTCCATTGTATTCAGTGCTTCCCTTCAGATGTAGACGTCTTCATAATCCAGTCAACTACCAGAAGAAATAGGGAAGGAGAGAGTAAGCATCCTTGTCTGACACCGGTCCTCACCACTTTGCGTTGTAGTCCGTCGTATGAATTCTGTAGTGTCGAGATTAGATCCTTACCGAATCCAGTCTGTTGATTCCGAGGCTAGGTATCTGCTGAATCCTTCATCCAGGTAAATAACACTCCGTTGAAAGCTTTTCCGTATATTGATAGTAGTGTGATGCCTCTGTAGTTCTCAAACTTGTTCATATTTCATTTCTTCGGTATCTTGGTGAGATATCCTTCTTCTCAGTCTGTCAGTGGCACTTATTCGCCCTAACAAATCTTCTTAATTAGAATATGAAGCACCTTTGCGGCTAACTCTTTGTCTTTCATTAGTGCTTCAGCTGTTATGTTGTCTGATCGTGTTGCTTTCCTACTGTTGATTTGTCTGATAGCCAACCTGATTTCTTCGATCGCTGATGGAGTGACAACTATAGGAATATCTATACGAATATTCGTCAAGATTGGAACGAACAGTTTGACAGAAACTGGGCGCCGAGTATAGAGAAGTCATTATATGTGAAAATTATATTTGATTATTACCCTGAAGACATTCAGACAAGTTAGCTGGACGAAACGTTGGAATAAGTTAAATTTCAATCCCTGAGATTGTTTCAAATATAATTTTCACATATAGGAATATCTGTTTGTACTATTTCAACGTCCGGTGGGTTTGGACAACTAGTCTATCCAAGCGCTCCAAAATGCCCTATCCACCTATTTCGTTGCTCTTGAATCTCAGTGATTGGTTTCCCTTCCTTCTTCCTGACTGGTCTCTCTAGTTTACCATATTTCCCTACTAGCTTCTTTGTTGTGTTACATGGTTGTCTCATGTTCTCTTCTCTTTCATCTTTTCCCACTGTAGTTGTCGGGTCTTCCATGTATTTCCGCTTGTCGGTTCTAATTCTCCTCTTCACTCATGTGTTTACTTCTGTGCATTCAGGTTATGTCTTGACTTTCTCTGCTCTTGTTCGACTGTTGTTAATTGCTGTCTTCTTGTTCTTCCTTTCTCCAATCCTGTCCAGAGTATCGGTAGAGATGCATTCCTTATGATGATACTTCTTGAGGCCCAGCAACTCCTGACACATTGAAGTTAATGCTTGTTTAATCCCTTTCCAAATGATCAATATGAGTGGTTGCCTTTTCCTTGAGTAGATCTTGTAAGGCTTGTAATGTGTCACTGAAAACTATTTTGAATTCGCTGAGTCTGTTAGTACTCCTGAAACGGAATACTGTTTCTTTTTTAATTTATTAGTACCCTACTCCTCTCTCTAAAGAGTACCTATCCATGTTGATTTTTTAATACTTAGTGACATGAAAACTACTTTCTTTAGACTTTTTTTTCTTCAATTTATTTATTAGCTTGCAAAAAAAAGACACTTAAATTATTGATTTTCCTCTAATTCTATATTCAATTATTAGCAAAAACAAAGTGGAAGTCTTCTTCTTACTGTACGTACAAAACAACCATCTTTATTACCAATCCGAGATATTCGAATAACAACTAATGGATTATATGATTCTGAATTATCTCTAGAAGTTGGTACAATTTGTTATGGTGGTATGGATCCTGAACAATTCAATATAACAGATATTGATAATAATAATAATAATAGTAATAATAGTAATAAAGAAGATTCAAATCACAATATTTATGATCATATTGAGCATAAATCAAATTTTCAAGTGAAAAAGTCCAATTTCAACGAAATGAATAATAATAATATTAGACTTATATCTGAATCATTTTAATTTAACACTTACTATGGTTATTATTAATATTAGGGGAAGAGGTGGGGTTAGTGGAAGATTTATATACTCTCAAAGTAATATAATGATAAACCAACAATTACCATGGCAATCTAACCAATGCTTTATCTTTAATCAAGAAATATTTGTAAATCTATTTCAAAAATAAAAATGCAATAAGAATATGAAAAAAAGTTTATTTTATACATGAATTTTATTAGATTTCATTTCATTTCTCTTTTATTGGAAGAAAGATTGGGTTTTCATAGTGTTCCAAGTTAGTTTTCATTATCTTCTATCTTTAATCTCATTCATTAAAGAATGAATATTGTATGTCATTGAATGTCTAATAGAATATATGATACAATAATCAGTTAATCAATATTTTTTAACTGATAAATTAATCAATATTACTTCGAATAGTTGTCAGTTAATTCATTCTTATCACTTCATTTCCCAATCGGAAAACGTCCTCATTTTTTTATGATGATGATGATGATGATGATTGTTGTTTGGCTTTGATGTTTGTGTATATGCTTGAAATAATCAATGATTTGAAAGACAATTTTTCATAATAAATTGATATAATTAGGATATCAAATGGAAACAGATTGTTCAGTATGTAAACTTAATCATCTACTGCAATTTATAATGGGTAGATTGAATGACAGATATGATCAGAGTAGAACCTAGCACATGTGTACATTGAACCAATTTGACATACAGAAATCGAAATGAAATTGACAAGCTGAATAAGAAGTCAAGGTAACAGTAGTATCAGAAAGACTAAGCAAAGAAGTTACGATTTGAAAAGGATGAGTGAATTTGAACAATAAAAACTATGGATTTATACATCAAAAACTACTTACGAAAATGTCGTATACAACTAACCTCAAGTAGTTGGCCCATGAGCTTTATAGTTACGTTCGTGGATAAACAAGACCCTCATTAATTTTGTTTTATTTTCATGATTATTAGGAACAAAGGTCCCTCTGTAAAATAACTAAAAAGCGTCAAACTCCAGTACATCCCCCAACACACAAGTCCGCTGTACTCATGTAATATTGTCAACGCATATTTATGTCTTACATCGTTATTGATTGATGATTTGTAGATAGATATGAGTGTTGGTAATGAGAGAAATTTGACTTAACAGCTAAATTAACTTCTTGAAGTGACTAGATTAGACTAAAAAAGAAAACAATAATTAGAGTGATATTCGGTAGATTATTATTCAATTGTCATTCGCAATGGTATCCAAAATAGTCTCGACAGATATACAACATTAATCCATCAGATAATAACGCGATCGTTACCGTATGGTTACTTGAGACGTAACACACTTCTTTACGTGTTTATCGACTGAGTAGACTAAATGATAGCTGGATTGGGATGAAGTTAGGGGTAATCATACCAGAAAATAGCATCAGTTCATAAAGACACTATTTGACTGAGCCACGCAAATAGGTACAAACCACCTGGTCGGAGTTCGAGTGATTATCCTTACCAATTATTAGAGGCTTTGTGACACGCCTCAGAATCATTCCCAGTGAAGCAAGTGCATTCACTCTTTAGTTTCCCTTAGATTTTAAATTTCTATACTCCCTATACATTTCTTTATTCTACATATTCATATTTCCTTCAGTCGTATCATCGATAAGTTTTTCTATCATCACCAACACTGTTATTATTACCTGCTACCCTGGGATTTTCCTCAACATTCTCATCTCGCTACGTTAACGGAGTATGGCAGCTTGGACCGACGTGCACATGTGCCGGGTTATACGTTGTGTAAAACTGACTGACAATTTAGTGTCACTATCTCGTAAAACTCAATTCAATGGATTTGTCATACTTTGCAGGTACAGTTACAGTGGTTTCCACATAGTACATTACTAGATTTCACTAGGGGTGGGTAGAAACAATAGAGATAGTCGGTTTGATATGGTATGTTGAAATGAATGGTAGTGTTGGATTACCGTCTGTTGCTATGTCATAACACCCTGCGTGAGGCCCTAAGGATCCAATAACTTAGTGGTTTCAAGCATCATCACACACGCGATGGCGTTTGAAGCGAACGGTACTGGGTTCGAGTCCCAGAGTAAACATCAACTCTGAGATGCAGGTACACGCAGATGACGAGTCCCAAATAGGACAAGACGCGCGTCCGGGATCCCACTGCTAGCCACTATCCATCTTTGATAATAATCTCATGTTTTATTATTTAGATTATTTTCCCGTTACATTCTCCACAAGATAGCATGTGATACCTACAAGTGAATGACAATCCAGTTTCCTTTCTGTTATGCAGCAGTACAGCAATAAATGGATAGCTCTATTTTTAATAACTGATATGTCATTTTCTTCTTTAGAGGTGATATCGATTTACATGTTCTAGCCATTAATTCCGAGACTATTTTTTCGAACTATTAAGCCAAATGCCTCTAACTGAAATTGTAATCAATACACGAAACAATTCTATTCAGTTTAATATTGGAATATTTCGGATGGCACTGAATAAAAATAACTAGATGACGCCAAGTAAAAGTTGATAGTATTGTTAAAACCATTGAAAACTATTATGAACGTATTGGTTTGAAGTTTACCTACACAAAAACTGTTTTGATTAACATAAAATGTACAAAATAATTCACATTAAAACCATTTTTAAGTCATTGAATAGTTTGTTTTGTTGAAATTAAATATATATAAAAACACTTTTTAACTGAACGTTCCTTTTCTGCAGATAGCTTTTAACAGGATATTGCCTCCAGATAGCTGGCAAACTGAACTTCCCAACAGTGTTCTTTGGGTTACTACTCATAGCAGTGAACAGGAATCAAAATGGGTCACGTACCAACATGATAATGGGGGGTTACTACTTTTACTTGCTTCTAGAATAGCTATCCGGACAGGTAACTAATTTAATTAAGACAAATCAGTAACTAAGGGCAAATTCATATACCCAACTTTGAGATACCTTTTTATTGTGAAGGATAAGTAGTTTGAATCTGGAAAAAAAAGTGATTGAAAATCAAGTATTCTAACAACTATCTCTTTTGTTACCCATCACACGAGAGAATAGAATGGTTGTTATATAGCTAAATATTAAAAAGCAACAATAGCCATGGATTATAATATGAAGGACAATGAGAAGAACTGATCGATCAATATGACAAAAAAACCCTTATGGCTTATGGAATCGCAACTCAAAAATAACCAATAGCCAGTCAAAAACTGTCAACATTCAATGTATGTATCATTAAAATTTTCGTACGATCCATTAAGCTTCACCTAGCGCATTCATGAACATCAATAAAAAAAGGATAAAGACTATTATTTACACGAAATCTATTTTACGTTTTATGGATCCCTTCAAGTGCTTTGAGATCACAGTGACCTTAATTAAGACAATTGTTGAGTACGAACACAAATATAGAGTGAAAAACAGATAAATATGCACAAATTTGTGTGTGCAAAGACCAGTCTGTTTCGCTAGTTTAAAGAAAATATATTAAAAATGAACTCATCGAACAAATGATAATGGGGATATGGGGGCTTTTATCACTTGTGAAGATAATATTGATTATAAATTGGGATAGATGAAAACAATTAAAGCAATAATGTATACAAACACACAAAGAAATAGGTGAAATTAAGGTTGTTTCAATAGTATTTATGACTAGAAAATGTTACGTTATGTTATAAAATTAATCTGTCAAGCATCCATGATGTGTTGCAGAGCTATATGGTATGGCACTAGCATTGACGATAATAATAATAGTAATGACAATGAATATGGAGAAGACAGTTCAAAGAACGCTGTTCGGATCAAGTAAAGGATCACGTTGGTGCCGATAGCGAAGAGCTGTCCATACTCCTAGAAGCTGTAGACAAATAAAACATGATGATTAAAACGATGAGCTAATGAAAACAAATATGAGAATTTAATGATTAAGGAATTAACCACACAAACACAACAAGAAGAGGGTCGAGAATCATCGACCTGACATTTTTTGAAAACACTTACATACTCATTTAATTTACATATACCTACTGCCTACTGTTTTCATCGGGGTTCTCCCGTAACTATATTTAAATAAGACAAGCACACACAAACATAACTTACTTACTTACGCCTGTTACTCCCAATGGAGGATAGGCCGCCGACCAGCATTCTCCAACCCACTCTGTCCTCAGCCTTCTTTTCTAGTTCCATCCAATTCTTGTTCATTTTCTCATGTCTATTTCCATTTCTCGGCGTAATGTGTTCTTTGGTCTTCCTCTTTTCCTTTGGCCTTGAGGATTCCATGTGAGGGCTTGTCTTGTGACGCAGTTGGGTGCGTTCCTCAATGTGTGTCCTATCCACTTCCAGCGCTTCATCCTGATTTCTTCCTCCGCTGGGATCTGGCTTGTTCTCTCCCACAGTACGTTGTTGCTAATAGTGTCCGGCCAACGGATCTGAAGTATTTTGCGTAGACAACTGTTAATAAACACCTGTATTTTCTGGATGATGGCTTTCGTAGTTCTCCAGGTTTCTTCCCCATATAGTAGAACTGTCTTGACATTTGTATTGAAAATCCTGACCTTGGTGTTGGTTGACAGTTGCTTTGAGTCCCAGATGTTCCTCAGTTGTAAATATGCTGCTCTTGCTTTGCCGATCCGCGCCTTCACATCTGCATCAGATCCACCCTGTCCATCAATGATGCTGCCCACATACGTAAAGGTTTTTAACAAACATAACTACTATCCACATATTAGGCCAAATAAGACAAACAGACTTACAGATATGGCACTTGACATATTTTACGCATGACCGCCAGCCTGAAACTTTAGGAGTGCGACAAGGGTATATAATTTGAGTTCTCTTTGGATATTTTTGAGCTATTTATGTACTAATCACAAGCTGGAGCTTTACATAATAAATGATGCATTGGTTTCGCAGAAACCATAAAAAGGTGATAGTCAATTTGAACTTAAGCAAATGGAAATGAAGACAGTGTCATAACTACGTTAAGTCCGCTGGGAACACCGTTCATATAATACTGAAGGGTGGAAACGCATGCTTAAAAAATGTATCAATAATTCAATGAAGTGAAACTTTTATTCATAATTTTCTAACAGCCTCTACATTCAGTAATATTCGCTGGCGCTGGAATTAAATGGAAAATCAGAAGTGCTTAGTTTATGAAATGATAATGGAAAGAATCGCGGGGGATTTTTAGAAACATTATACTCTGGTGCTGATTCAGATTTGCAAGCATGTAAATTTTATTTTCAAACGCTACAAAGTCATGATCCTAAACCTATTGATACGGATATATTTATGGATCTTCCATATTTTTTTTCAGACAGTAATGTTCCGGCTGTTTATGAGATTAGGCTTTCAGATCACAGGTTCAACATATATTCGAGGTAATTATATCATTAAAAATACACTCGTTTAGGTTTATATGACCTCTTTCACTCGTCATCCGACTGCTGCCAAAGACTTTTATCTCTCTGAATCTTTCTAACTGATTTGACATTTGATTGTAGAAGGCCATCCTGCAGTACAGCTATTTCACAATCATGATTACAGCAACTTTTCCACCAGTTGCATGTGAACTGTATGTTATAAGGTTAACTGATTAATATAAATATATATTAAACTAGTAAAAGCACAAAATACCAGTGGCTGTAACACAATTACAAACTAAGAACTCACTTCAATAACGCTGAAGAAAAGGCTAGTGGCACCAGTAACTCGGACACCAGTTGATAATCGTTCTTGAATTACAGTCCAACAAGTTGTAGTACATGGGCAAAACGTGTTATTCCCCACATCTGGACCTTGGCAGCATTTAGCAGTTTCACCATCAGGTGTATCGCAGCAAGACAGCTAGAGAAAATAGTGTGATACTATTAAATCACCTTAAGTCTGATTAAAAACTAGAACTGGATAACCTAGTCCGATATAAGAATAAATATCCTATCAGTCATAGTTGTAATACTTAGAACTAGATTAACAGGATATCGAATAAAAAATGGTAAAAATTGCAAAAATATATAACCTAATCAGTAGGTATAGGTTAGAACAGAAACAAACTAACATATCAACTTCGAATCTGAGTCTAAGTTGCTGAACATCGTAATACAAAAACAACCTAGGCCAAAATATTTGTACCAAGTTCTGTGTTGTTAATGTCTGTCTGTAATAAGAAGCGGTAAATCAGCATAAATAGGACGACAATAGAAAACGGACGAGAAGCACAGGAGTTGAGAACGGTAAACAAATAACCGGTAGTAAAAAGTTTAGGAATTAAAAGGCGAAAAGTGGGTGAACCTGAGCTATGTCATCTATGGTTTCCAATGATTTTCTAATTGGGAGTACTCGACCCAATTTAGACTGACAATCAATGACTTTATGGACTAATGCTATGTTTTAGTCTGATATTACTTAGCTTTCCTCAAGTTTACTACAGCTTTAGACAGTACCTTCGATGACAACGCTGCGTGACTAGAACATGATTTCATTTTTTTAAACAGAAAAGCCAAAAATCCAAATACAGTGGGTTGGAGTAAAAGATAAACAATTCCTATTGCAATTCAGAGTTCTACTATTGACTTATACACCTGTAAGGGTGTAGAACAACAGTTTCACCGATTTTTTTATCAGTTATTTGAACACATAAATATTGGTACGAGGGGGTACCAGATATATATGCGCCACACTATAACAATGAAAATGGGACGAGAAAAAAGAACGTAAAGCGCGTAGAAGAACGAATTAAAAAAAGAGAACAATAACGACCACATATTAGTCTATGATAGTGTAATAATAATAATAATAATAATAATAACAATAATGGGGGAAACGGGAATGTACAACCAGAAAGAATTCTTTCAGCTAAGGAGGTTACAACCACTTTTTATGAAGAAAGTAAAAGATTACAGCAGGATTACCACTGGCTTCTATTCTGAGCATAGAGCAAAAATGCCCTCACCGACGCGTTGTAGATCCAACCTTTTACAGCCAGACTGACATCACGAAGGCGCCAAAGATGGCCCAGATTGGCATAAGCCGCTCTGGCTTTCACTATACGTGCATTGATCTCATCACTCAGGCCACCACCAGCACTTACGCAGCTACCCAGATACACGAACTTCTTGACTACTTCTATCTGCTCACCATCCAGGGTGAGTACAGGATTAGAATCCTGCCAGTCTTGTAGAAGTACTTTGCACTTCGAAGGTGCAAAGTACATACCATACCTACGGACACTGATTGTCAACTGATTAAGTGCGGATTGCATGGCTTGGGCATTATCGCACAGTAAGACAATACCATCCGCATACTCAAGGTCGAGAAGTCTTTCTCCAAGCAGCAGATCTACACCGCCATTACTTACATCCTTCAGAGCTACTTCCAGAATGTCATCGATGGCAAAGTTGAAGAGGAATGGTGAGATTGGGCAACTCTGCCTAACCCCACTGCTTGAATGGAACATTAGAGAGAGGTGGTTGTATGCCCTCACTCTGCCTGAGGTGTTTGCATATAGGGCCCTTAGGATGTTAATAAACTTCTCAGATATACCTTTCTTCAATAGACAACTCTAGAGAACAGTCCTGTTCGACGAATCGAAAGCAGCCCTGATGTCAAGAAACACTACGATTGTTGGTCTGTGATAAGTATGACAGTGCTCTAACATTTGGCGGAGGGTGAGGATATGATCAATACATCCTCGACCAGAACGAAAACCAGCCTGCTCCTCGCGAGTCAATCTTTCTCGGGTTTTAAACAACCTACGAAGTATGACAGAAGTCAACAGTTTGGACGCAATTGGAAGTAGACTTATCCCCCGATAGTTGTTACAGGAACGACGTGAACCCTTTTTAAAGATAGGGACAACTATCGACTCATTCCATGACGTTGGTACACTCTCTAGCTTCCAGACCTTTGTAAACAATGTTGTCAGTTCCCTAACCAGAAAGTCACTACCATCTTTAAAAAGAGCCGGAGGTAAGTCATCTGAGCCCGGTGATTTGTAGCGCTTTAAGAGTTGGAGTTCCTTGTGGACTTCCGCTTCATTTGGTGTATCAGTCGTCACAGGCCATGGAGGGCAGGACAGTCTGACCAATGTTCCTGGGGCATCAGGTCGGTTGAACTGCCCCTCGGATGAGTTGGAAGAGCTTCCGGTAGTTACTAGATGCAACTGCTGCTTCCAGCTCATTAGCACGCACCGATCACCAGGCTTCTCGGTCCTTACACAAGCCTTGATCAATTTCATTACGTAACATCCTTCGTTTGTGGTTAAACTCACGGTCACCCGGAGTAGACCGACGGGTCTTGATGAGTTGTAAGAAGCCTGGAGAAACCCAGTGCTCATAAGCGGGTTGTTTCGCGAACACACAACTGACTTTACTCGCCATTTTCATGGCGTCATGCAATCGCAACCAATACTCATCTATACTTTTCGGTGGCATAGTAGCCAGCCTAGAAGCTAGCTCGGTTCGATACTTACTAGCAACAGAAGTTGCAACCAACTTGCTGACATCAATCCTTTGATGGAGGTCAATTCGTCGGCCACTGAGAAATAAGGTAAGGTTGGCGCAGACCAGGGCATGATCAGAGTGCAGATAGGTACTCCAAAAGGAGCGGCAGTCTTGTAAACAACCACTCCAGCGGTAGCTGATCGCGATGTGGTCAATCTGAGTCCAGGCTTGAGATGCAGAGGGAGGACGCCAGGTGGCACATCGGCGATGACTGTGCTGAAAGTTAGTGTTAGCCAGAAACAGGTTGTGGTCTGCGCATAGTTGTAGTAGACGGTCCCTGTTATCTGTCCTGCGACCAACAAGTCCCCATCGGCTACCTAAACGACTCTCTTCTGTGCCTAGACGCCCGACCTGAGCATTCAAGTCTCCGGCTAGTACTACAATATCTGTCGAACGCACTTTCTGGAGAAGAACAGATAACTGGTGGTAGAATTCGTCCTTGATTGCATCCGGGCTGCAATCTGTCGAGGCATAGGCGGAGATGACGAAAAGATATCGTTTCTCACGCCGATTTCTCCTCACTTTGATGGAAATTTCGAACCTCACAGCACATAACCGACTGGTAATGGGGATCCAATCGATTAGTGCTGTCTCAGCTTTAGCGCTTAGTGCGACATCAACGCCAGCAAGACCATACGAAGATGCCACAGGGTCCCCGGATAAACGCACGTAAAACAAGCTTTTTGGATCGACAGATGGAGGGCGAATTCGTAGTATTTCACCAGAGTCTTGAATACGGGTCTCGGATAGACAACAAACGTCGATATTAAGACTTTCTAAAGACATAGCTAGTCCTATCTGTTGTCCAACCTGCATAAGTGTGCGAACGTTGAAGGCAGCCAGTTTGAATGGTGCATGTGGTTTCAGAAAAACTGCTTCAGTACTCGTATTCGGTGGTAACATTCAATTTCCAACCAGGCAGTGACTCGAGAACGTTAGATAGAGCCGAATTTCAACCATAGGCGAGCTGCTGTATAAGTCGAAAAGTAAGGATACATATAGCGGGAATAAAAGCGAGTGAGTAAATGACGTAGTAAATAATAATAATAATAATAATAATAATAATAATAATAATAATAATAATAATGTGAATCATTTGATTGTTAATCCCAGCGAAAAGAGCATTTTTCATAAATATAGACAGTTTATCATATTTGTGTGCGGGCTGTGATACTGCGCGGGTGCCCAAACCGAAGCAGGTGGTTTTCTTAGGGGGCCACATCCGGAGCCTTCAACCTGAAGGTCTGATCCACAAAGCGGTGGAGCATCGTAAGGAGATACAGTCCCATGGTAGCCGGTGACCAACGATTGGTTCATACGCCATTTGATCCTTTAGGATACTGGAGCCCATGTACACCATTGGTTTGGAATAAGGGTTTTCCGACTCCCCTAGGTGGACTCTTCATGTCCACCAACCCGTTTAAAGCGCCAGACATTCACTTTTCGTCCTCTCAATTTCGTAAACAACAGTAATGCCATGAGAAGGCAGTGAGTAGGAACTTCCTGGTAGTGGCTGTATACACGTGGCGATGTGAGAATATTTCGTGATTGATAGCTGACTCTCCCCACTACCGGCCGTACCAGGGCGTTTGGGGGCCACCGATTGACTCAGCTTCCTTCCTTCGACTATTCAGTCTAAACCTAAAACTTTCTGTTTAGTGACTGTTATTTCGAATATATTCGCAACCAAACATCTGTAATCAATACATATTTTCTAATGGTTGCAGTTGTCTCACAGACACAAAAACAAGTTGGCTAAAATATTGGTTAGGGATAAGTGGTAGACGACTGATAATAAGGTTAGGAAGAAGATCTAGATTATCAGCAGTACAATGTGGATTGTTTAGATATGCGCCATGAAATCAAAGGTTAGCATTTTAGAAGAATTTGATTTTGTAACAAACTGTTACATTGAAGAGTCGGGAATCGTGAAGTAGCTTGATAAAATAGTCCGTATTATTTCGTAATATAAAAAACAGTAAAGCAGAGCTTCAGGAGCATTATATGTGTCCAGTTCATTAGATATCCAATGTGTTTTGGGAACAAAACATAAAGTATATACTTAGATAATTGTGTACTATTTCAAGTTATTGGAATTAGAAACGATAAACTCTAACAAGTTAACGTATATAATTAGTTAACTACTTACCTTGGCTAACTTGCACGGGGGACATCCCAGTGGGTCAGATGGAAGCAGGTCGGCTTTATGGAGACCACAACATTTAAACGCCGTCATGACAGTTAGTTTTGAGTTATTGGAGCTTTGTTTCCACGCCGTCTCAACTAAAATCTTTTGATAATCACTGGAGAGTGACAGACAAGCGCATGCTACAGAAAACTGGACGAGAAAGAGGCTGAAAAGTAGGATTATATACTAATGACTAATAAGGGACTATAGACGAGTTTTGTGAGAGGTGAATATAATTCACTAAGTAAATCTGTGAGCATTCATTTAAACCCTGAAGTGGAGTCAAGTTTTTTTCACTCGATTTTTAAGGATTTTACAGACCAATGCCTACACTTAATAGATAATACGACTTGAAACCGATAATATTGCTTATTATCTTAATCCCCACATATCTTACAAAGATAACTTTTTGGTTATGCATTTTAGTGACAGTGATTACACGAATAAAAAGTGGACTAATTTAAGTTACTACACTGTACAACAAAGGAAGACTAAACCAAGTGTAGCATATGAGAAAAGATCTTCATTTCATTTCGATGAAGAGATAAAGTCCAAAAAGAATAGTCACTTACTTTCCGTCAAGGTTGGAAAGTCATAAGTTCAGGAGTTTTGTGTAGCTGTCTGAGGAATGTACAAAACTTATGATTTAATTAGTGCCTGGAAATTATATTCAATTAATTTTAAGATGCTACATTATCGAGTCGAATAACCTATGGTAATTAATTTTCAACCATCTACTTTATAATACCAAATCAATATTACGAATCATCGCATTTTATACTCAGTTGTACATTCAGTTAGGGTCTGATCAAGTTTTCCATAGTTGGTAAAAATAAGAACTGATACTTATTAGTCGAAGAACTAGGGAGCTTTCTTATTGTGCCAAGTACAGAGACGTAGTAGTTCCAGACCAATGTGTCACCCATGTGTTTCAGTGAAGTATGTCTGCTTCGTGTCAGAAAAAACATAATTACCCCAAGCCAAGAAACGAACTGAGAGAAGCTATCCGTGAATATACAAATGTATTAATCAGAGAGGTTTGATTATTAAAAGGATACGAAAAATAATATTGGCTGGTTGTGTTTGATAGCGCCCAACAATCCAACTACAGCAAGCACAAAGAGGAAGACTCCACAAGCTATAATACCGCCAACAATATGAACGCTCGTCACATAGATGCTCAGCCTGGCATACGCAGCAACGCCAACAAGAATGAAAGCAACAACCTAAGAAAAATATTGGCTCTTATACATATTTTCCAAGTTACTAAGTAGAGTAAGTTAAGGGCTATGAGCAAGTACTTAGAAGATTTGAAACTAAAAGCCATTCTTTGACCAGCTTCCTGCCAGTTAGTCGTGGTTTTGCAAACGATGTATCAATGTCTCTGAATAGCTTGGGTGTTATTAGGACAGAGATCTAAATAGTTAGTTAGTTTACATAGCAAACGGAACAGTACAGTTTACCCCTAGCGTCCAGTCGACTACGGTCTCTAACTAAAGTTTTGTGTAAAATTTATTTGGGAAGTGGTGAAAAAACGTATCACTGGAGATGTTTATTGACTCAGCTAACTCGATAATCTAAAAAGGAACAACAAGAACCAAAATTTTAGACTCAGAATATATAACAGACTTGAACCCAATAAAAGATCAGGATATAAACGAATTAGAGGATGAGTGCGAATTTAAAATATTATGCTGACCGAATTGGAAACTTCTGTACAAGGCCTTGACAAAGTACCGCAGAGCTTGAAATGCGGCTCAGCCTTCAGTTTTCAGCATCAAGGATACTCAACTTTTGAACCATTTAACTGATTCGTCAATCTTATAAACTATTGATCCTTGTGTTCTGACATCAACCGACGCACGCTATTTAAAGGAGACAGTGATCGATCAAGAAGCCAAAGTATGTTCTCGCGCACGTTTTAGATGTTGTCGATAATTTTGGATGTCGTTATTTTCAAGCTATTAACAGCATTTTTTCGTCATATGTCAACTTTTGTAATATTTGTGCTTATCACATAGCTTTTATTCCAGTTTATTAGTAGTTTGACGTAGTTGTTGTTCACAACCTGGCTGAATGTTCAGTCGACCTAATGTGGTTATTTGTAACAATTCAAACTCAAGTAAGCGAATTTCAAGTCAAAAATAAACTACAGTCAGAATTTTAAGTAAAAATCAGCTTTAAAGCCTTTCACATTTGATTCACCTTCATAATTATGGTGGTGATGAACATGGATAAGTGTAGGTTGAAGCAATTGAGTGTTAAACTGCTTTTGAATACTGTGTAAGTTGTTAATAAACAGCCATCAACAGTTCTGTCCATAATATGTATCATGGTTTTCGACCGGAATGATATATTATTTCGTAACTTAACTGAGAAAAAAAACTTACATGGGTAACAACTGACGTTGATAGCTTTTCCTGCCCTCTCTCTGAACATATACAGGAACTATGTGTAACATTATTGTGTGTGGCATGTTAATTAGTCACATATTCTTTTTCAGTAAAACGATGGTAACTAAACCACGTCATAGTTTATACTAATTTATGATGTGTCCGTTTTTAGGGTTAACGAATGAATTTCTGTAAAATAATCCGAAACCACTGACCAAATTATAAACAAAGTTCTAATGCATAATAACGAGTGATATCTAAATTGTCCTTACCAATGATGTCATTATTGTATGTAAACAGTGAATTGCTAATAAAATTATAAACGTTGAAATTGGATTTTTTCAGTTTTCATATTACAAATTAAAGTTTTGGGATCCGCTGATTTAGTGCCTGTGGTTTCTTTGTTATTACAAAATGACTGGGTGAAATCCTAATAATTACAGTAGTAATTTATTCTCAAATAACAGTCTGTTACATGAGGCATGCCAGTTTACAGGCAAGATCGAATTGTTGCAGGTGATACAGTTTCATTGTGGTGGGTTACTCAGCTAGTCTGATACTTTATAAGGTACATTAATCATAAAAGTATGTGGGATAATACAAAGCATAAAACAAAGCATGTTATGTTCGTGCATATTAAAAATGAGTCATTTGTAACTAAATAGAGAAGTTATGACTACTTAGTCTAGTTTTCTATTATTAAGGTACTTTTTAAGCAAGACCATTCTAGTAGGTTAAAGAAAACATACGTAAATATACTGTGAATCGACAAAGAACAGTAACAATGGACGTGGTTCAAAAAGAAGCTGAAAGTATAGGATTGTGTGAAGTAATAAAATATAGTACTGAAAACAGTATTCTGATACACAAATGGTTTTCTCCCTTTTTTGTCGAGGCTATTTCTGCTCATTCTTATTTTTATTGATTACGTAGGGTCGTGAGCAAACTTCGTTTTTAGAAGATTGTCTAGCTCTGCTTGTAATAAAATTACTCGGTAGAAAGCGAGACTAATTCAACATCATAAACAGGATTTAAAGAGGCATTTTTTAAAAAAATAAGTACGAATATCATTGGTTCGTGATATTCCATGTGACCATCAGGAGTCATAATTTGACAAACTGTTCTAGGAGGGTTAAAAAACGAAGAGTACTGTTTAAAACAAGTAAGTCACTTTCAGGTACATTATGTTATCGGCTGTTTCATTCACTTATTGGATTTGATACAGATAATGAAGGTCAATCATTTGTTTCACGATTGATCTGTTGTTTTTCAGAATTACATTAATCCGACAAAGTCCTCATACTTTTTTTGATATGCGACTTATGGCTTCTGTCAACAAATTGAAAGGTTCGAAACTTTCTAAAAATCAAGTCTATGCCAGTGAACAACTTAGAGGATTTCTGAATACAGAAGATTATGTGGCGAAACAGTTTACAAGCTGACGATAATTGTGTTTTATATTGACTACTACCACAATTATTTATCTGGTGAATTATTTAAATATAAATATAACAACTATACTCAGTCTTTTACATCAAAAATCTTGTTAGTATGTAGAAATATAGTTCAGTTCGGTACTAATACCACTTTGATAATAGACCTAATCCCAAAACGGTGTATATATCATGATGTATCTAATCTGTAAGATCTTAAGTGAAGGTCGCATCACTGTCTACACTGACTCATCATATCGTGACAATTAACCATGATTCTTAGTACTTCCGAAGAACACATTTGTGCTGGAGATAGAATAATATTTTTAGTGTGAATAGTAATAAGTTCCACAAAATGAGCACGTCCGTAAGGCTAAGCCATAGCATCCGATTGAGTGAATATCTCCAAGTTCACCATTGCCGAGCTTCTCAAAGTGTCATGTCGAATATACACCCTTTCAGTCATCATACGCTTGACTTCGAAGACCATGTGGTTAGGAAACGATGCCACCACAAGTATCTGTCCGAATATACTTTCATAGTGATAAAACTTATATATACAACGCAACACTATGGCGAAACTTCTAAACCGATGCAGTACTACAAGTTTTCGTAATGAAACGGGTACTTATAAAGCAAACACTTAGTTGTTTTTAATTTTCACAAACAGTTACTTGGTAAGATCATCGGTAGATCTACGAAGACGGAAACAAAAATTGGGCAAGAGTTCACTGATGTATCATCATTACTGATACAGGAAGAGCAAAAATTGATGCTGAAAAATCAGTTGACATTTTAGATATATAGTTAAATTAAAAATACTACTGCAAAAAACTTCTTCTAGCAGGCAGTTCCTGTCAAGTATCCACACTTTGTTATATTCCGATCCATATATTCTATTGTAAAGGATACCACACAAAGGCATGCGTTATAGAAACTACCCTCTTATTGATGATTCTTGAGTGAAAATTGGCTTCGCTGAACGTGTACATACTGTTTGCTTCCTCTGGGTAATGAAATTTTCGTTCCATTATGGAAGGTGTGTGTGTTATCTATCTTCCATAGACTGTAATGTCTAAGAATATACATATTATACGTTAAAACTCCTGGCTTACGTCGATTAAAATATCTCTTAAACATGAAGCACTACAAGAAACAACTAGACAATAATTAAAAAATCGCCTATTCACTGTAACATTACTACGTGACGCAAGTACTACTAACATTGAAGACATACCGGTTATTTGACATTTCATCTTAATCCTTGAGTAAAACAAAGATTCACACAAAGTTCGCGTATCTAGAACTGTTAAGTGATTCTTACTTTTGTTACATTGCTTTCTGGATTTCATCACGTTTTAAACGAAGGTGGTGAGGTTCAGTAGAAAAATTGGTATCTGAGATCAAGTTACAAAGCAGCAGTCGACTCATCGTGTGCACTGTAAGTCAGAGTAGGCTAAATTAATGCGGTTTCTTTTTAGAAAAAGACCATTCAAATATGAGAACACGTAATATTTGTGCAACACAACGGACACTCAACTAACCTACGGCAAGTAACCTACGAAATAGCCGCGCTCGCGTCAGGCTGTTCAAGAACGTTTAAACTAAACAGCAGATGGCTTTGAGAGGATCTCTCTATCTTTACCATGAATATTTTTTCGTACTGAGTTGTATTTATAGTTTTGATTGTTTAGCACGCGTTAAGAATACTGTAACGACCGAACTGCCAGTCTTCGGTTTGAACGCAGGACTGACGAACCAAAATTCATTCTAATGGGCCAGACTACGCTCTTCTGTATAGCGTGCGAGAGGTTTTTGAGATACCCGTATTAAATTATATCAAAACACAAACTCTGTTCTAATTTAGGAAATAGAACAAATTATATCAAAAATACAAAACACCTCAAACGGCACAGCCTGTGCTATATAGTCAGAAGTTTCTCTAACGCAAAGTAGAGTGCTAAACAGTAAAAGAAACAATTAATACCAAAGGGTTTGATACCTGAGAATCAAGAAAAATGTTTCCAATAAGATGGGTTCAAATATCTTTCTGCAGGGATTCCAGAAACCCTCCCAAGCAGATAATCTAAAGGTTAACAGTTACACTGAACCACGCCATGACCTTAAGCTTAGTCAGACACGACCTTACTGTCAATAGTCCGGCAACGTGCAATAGAAAATCGGGCAACAAAAGATACATCTTTAATCGAAATCACATAATAAAGGTTCAGACGAGAAAGACTGAAGAACAAACTGTGTGGTTAAAAGAGGTTAAAATACACGACAGGAAGAAGAAACAAGTGAATGACAGTACTGTCCAACAAAAACGCTGTGGAAGGATTTTCAGCCTTCTCTTCCCGTTACAACTACTGTTTTCACTTTGAATAAAAATATCTCAGTTAAAGTACTTAGTATATAGACGCAATGATCGATGTTAAGATATCTCAAATAAACTCAATTTCAACTGACTTTCGTGAAACAAAGAACAAAAGACCGACTTCAAAACAGTCTGTTAGAAATGAAAGCTCAACTATGCATATTACTTCTGTTTACCGCCCTCTAAATAGCACGGTCGAGAAATGCTTAGAAAACCTAATCGCACCCTTCCGATTATTGCCATATGCAATAAATTAAAGGCATTAACTATGCGTTTCCAATATTGAGACTATGCAAACGCTGACTGTGAAATTGTTGGATTACTAATAAAGCACTCCGACTGGAGCAGTTTCTTTACCAGTGATAACCTCTTAGAAACATTATAAATATTCAATACCACTACCAAATCTGCACTAGACACTACTATAACCTCTAAAGTTGGTTTTAAAACAATTACTCCCTATATAAACCAAAAGACTAGGTCTAAACTGCGAAAACTGAAAAGGACGTACTATATATAAAAAGACTTCAGTGCCCT